GCACCCTAACCGTACTCCAACGGGAACGGCACCGAAATATGTTTGTTGTGTAATTGTTTATGGGGTGATGATTACAAGTATCTGACCGGGCCTGACACTGGCCCGGTGTGTGGCATGTGGTGTTTCTGTTACACATGTGTGTAAGTATGTATGTCTTGAAGACATGACCTAGGTCGAAGCCCACATGTCGTGCGTTGCACGATGCTTTTCTGGGGCCCCCAATCCGCATCCAGATATGTGGCGGCGAACAACCGCACCGTCTTCGAAAACACCACCGAGGCCAACATCACGTCGTACTACCTGCCCTTGTCCACATTTCTCCGGGGAGGACACGAAAAGTGTGATGTGTACGTTATTGGGTCGTACGACGAAAGCTTCAACGACCCTGACGTCCAGGACTTTATCACCAGTTTCGTCGCCATGGGCAAGGGCATCATCGTGGTAGGCCCCGATCTCATGCCCAGCAAATTCTACGCGCCGGATACTCCTGCCGTACCTGCCGTACCGGAGCCGCCGGTAGCGCAGGCGGCCGCAAAACCGCAACCGCAACCGCAACCGGATAACAGTGGCCATATGGGCGGTGGGGCACGGGGAAGGCGATCGCTGATTGGCCGTTATGACGGCTCTACGAGCAACCTGCTGGGTGCGGGAGCGACCGAGGAGACGATTATGCAAATGTGGGAGGCAGAAGGCGCCGATGCCGTTGGCAGTGGCTATGTGATTGTACGACGGTCGTTGCAGACGGGTGGGGTAAGTAAGGGAGATGCAAGTTCTTATATGAAGTGATGTGTATCGTTTGGGTAGGATTTTGCGGCCGCTGTACAGCTGCGCGATTGTACGATTGTGGTGAAGCTGGGGAACCCGCGGCGCCGCTGCAGCGTGGCTGTATCTGCTACCTCTCTCCCCCGGGGGTTGGGGGCACCCGCATCCTTTTCATCGTCCATGAGTGCCGACTGCTGTGTGAAGTCATGTTCGGAGTCAGCACCAGCACTTGCACCAGCACCTCCAAGTGGAATCTGCCCCCAGATCAACGGCGGCGTCAACTCCAATTCTGGTCGGTTGCCACGTGTATGGGTGTACACGTGTATGGGTGTATGCGTGTATGGGTGTATGCGTGTATGCGTATATGCGTATATTCGTGTATGGGTGTAGATTGTCTCGGTTACAGAGCAGCCGGTGCCTGTGTGTTGCTTCCTCTCCCGCCTCTCCTTCCATACCCTCCCCTTCCCCCCTTCTCTTTCTGCCATCTCCCCAGGACTGCCAAAATCCCCATGCAAAAGCCCGGGCCCGCTTGCCGCCTTCTCCGGGACCGGTGACATTTTTTACCCTCCCGTGATAACAACAACCCCCGCAGGGAAACGACCTCGCCAATAAACTAAACTTTAACATCAACAGGGCCAAGGTCAACGACCCAGGCGGCAGACTTTTGCAGCCAGGCTCGCCTGGTGGAAACGGACTTGAGGACGCCCAGAAATACCTCTCCTATCTGAAGGGCCAGAGGAACCTTACGTACAACGAAATATGCAATATTCGTGATACAATTCGCTGGGTTAAGGAAACCGTTCGCCCGGGCACCACGTCAGCGGACGCTCTGCTTCAAATGATGTCTGATATTGAGGAAGAAGAGAAGAAGCGGCCAATGTTTCCACCGTTCACACGCCTGGCGCCGCCGAGACGGCCGCCTTGGTACGATCCGCCATCACCGAGGACGCCGCCTTCGTACTTATCTAGGCCGCCGCCGTTGCCTGGTGAGTTTCATGCGTCGTGCCTCGTGCGTCGAGCGTGCGTAGCATGTTTACGGATGTCCGCTACGTGTACGCTTGTGGTGTGTGTATGCCTGCATTACGCCTCTTTGCGTATGTATGATGTTGTTACAGGGTGGTATAGCTTCACCAGCGGCCCCCTTTCCCGAGGCAGTTCCCTGCTCTCCCCTGCGAGAGGGGCACCCTAATCCATTCACCCCATCCGACTTCAGAATGTATTCGTTGGGTTCAGCAACTCACCACCAGCATCCAACCAAATCTAGCGGATAAACGGCGCCAAAACTTAGTTCTTCCTGGTCAGCTCGCAAGTTGATATAATCACGTCCTACACCGTCCACAAGATGTAAGTAGGTAGGTAGGTAGGTAGGTAGGTAGGTAGGTGTCTTGCGTAATTCATTGTCTTTATCCAATTGTTTCTAATTAATTTGGTATTTGCTCATGATTTGGTATCTCGGAAAGCAGCAGGGGCCCCTTTTATGCATTCGAACATACATACAGTCGTGTTGTCGCCGCCCAGCTCACGAAGGAGAACCACACATGTACACATCATACACAAACTGTAGTAGCTGGTACACAGTACGGCTCTACAAATACGCGCGTAGCGCGACCACCAGCATCTCGAGGGGCCTTTTGAGCGGGGCCAGCTACTACACAAACATACATACAAACAGGCAGGCACGCCCTTGCTCTTCGCCCATCAGCGCATCGCTCCCGACCACCTCGTACAATTATTACATGTAAGATAAAAATAACCTTTTCGGACATTTCCCGCGGCCCCCGGAGCTCGTGACAGTGAGACGGTTCTCTTCTTCTCCTCAAATCCCCTCTCCCTCCCTCCTCCCCCTCTCAGTTTAATGTCCCCTTCCCGCACCCGCTGACCACATCGCCTGCGCGCAGCCAATCTACCTCCCAACGTACGCTACGTTGGCTGCTATTCCGAATTTCCCAAAAATGGCACTCCGCTGCTGAATAAAAATGTTACTGTCAACGCGTGAGTCCTGCTAAGGGCACGGGTATGCTGGAGGGGAAGGAGGATTGAGTTTTGAGTTTTGAGAATTTCAGGGCTTTGTTTTTTGGGCTTTGCGTTTTTTGAAACTCGATTGCTTTTTCGTTTTTCCCCACGGTGCATCCGGTAGCCGCAGTCATGTTTCGTGTTCTTCACCGTTAGGGATCCTTCAATCTCGCGGTTCAGTAATGATAATGTTCTCCCCAGCTCGTTACTAAAAAATATTATTGCCCTGCTTAACTCAACAACGCGCGCGGCCCTTGGAAAGGTGCTGGAACGTGTCAACATCCGCCTACAACGCCAAGGCCGGCTACCTCATTGGTATGCAGAAGATTAGATGTTATGGCGCCCAGCTGCCATCCACGGATAATTTAAACTCAGCATTGAGTGATACACAGTGCGATGCGCCCTGTACAGATCAGCCAGGACTGGTGTGTGGCAGCTTCGGAAATAGTCAGGGGGTCCCGGGTTCAACCGCCTTCGCTGTGTACTTGCTGGTATAGCGCTAATGGGCAATTATGTTTCTACATTCGGTCTTTGTAATTTTGTTATAAAGGAAAATAAACTTTGGAATCAGGTTTATAGTAGGTCAGGAGCATGTAAGGATGGATCCTGCTGATGACTTGATGTAGGCGGAGCCTTGAAGAGTGGTGCCGGGGAAGATATTTGTGAGTACTTGTAGGTATGCGAATTAATCATATTGGATCGGATCGGATTTGTTTCTTCCTGCGAAACCATCTGATCGAGACGCAACACAGGAATGATATTTTCTTTTCATGGTTGCGTGGCCCGATGGAGACTTAGTCAAGCATGAGGTTCCCCGTTGATCATCGTGCGAGGCAGGCCATGAGCTCTGAATGGTTTTAGATATCGTCTTGAACAGCCATATCTCTCCTATCGACCTGTCGCAGAAAATTTGTATTCTCTCGCTACACGCAAGAAGCGCAGCTGCTGAGATAATTCCATATCCTTTACAGATTGCAGCAGGTATCGAGCAGAAGGCAGGAGAGCAGGTGCATGTACAGGTGCATACGCCGAGGCCGCTACTTGGCCTACTGCATCCGTGCCTGAACCCCCTCATAGGCGATACCTTATCAACTGCGTGTTATTTCATGCCACGGGATACGCACCTGTGCATGTGTTGATTTGTGCCGAACCTTAAACTTCGTGACGTATTGTGTGTGCGGGGTTTTTAGACGACTGTGAGAAGCTACAAAAGTCCCTATGGCATAAAACGAGGGGTAAACCCCCCTTAAACATAACCCAGGGGTTAGGGGTAGGGGTAAGTGGCTATGTACGAAGGGAGGTGGGTAACCTAACCCGGAGGCGGGTAACCTTACCCCTTACCGAGGGGTAACAAAGGGGTCGGGTGTCACGACATTGTAGCGTCACGTTCATTTTACCGTCTTTCTTACTCGTCTAGGTTATGTCGGTATGAATATGCGTATTTCGTGTTGTCTTATACTCGTGTAAGGTGTTTGGTAACTACCTTACACTCGCATCACTGATTGATTTGTGGACGAAATGTGATTGCATACTCGCTTGTGTATGTTTACGTATTTTACCTGTGAATTATCCCTTACTTGTGTGAATGTTTTGTCACACCGAGACAATGTGCTTTACTATCGTCATTCGTGGACTATACGTCGTAGTCGCACTCAAGGCTTATCTCTTGAGGGCCTCCTGTTATCGATTGCTTGACTTCGGTAATTGTAGTGAGCTTGGTAAAGTCGCTTTACGGCTCTTCTCTTCTCCATTGAAAATTGTAACGTTCGTTGAGCTAGACAACAAGCCCAGCAACAAAGTAAATCATGAGTCAGGGTAAGTCAAGTATGCGTATATATTCTACTAAGGAGTTAATTATGCATGTATCGCAATCACCCCATGACATTTCCCCATCTAAAACCCTGGAGATCAATACCGAGTCAGGTTCGACCCCATCACCCCTTGCTCTCAATTTCCACAAAATAAATGACCTGTAGAGGTCTCATGCGAAGACGATGGGACTCGAACCCACAACCCTCAGATCCGAAGTTTGATGCGCTATCCATTGCGCCACGTCTCCAGGATGAATAGGGACGTCTAAGGCAAGTATACAAAACATATAAGCCGCACATGTGCGTGGCTCATCCAGCCCATAGCGTGTACTCATCTGTGTTGTGCACACCACGGACCATGAACATTGCGTCTAAGATGCGTGCTCATTCCTCACCGACTAGTAGCCTCTGCACACAACCTAACAGCAGCAGCAGGCAGGAGCAGCAGCGGATCATGTCATCTAGATAGTGATAGCACGGATGCACCATCCGAATACACCATATACAGTTCCGTGCAGACACAGTAAATACGCTAATTGTGGCACAAGTGGCATAGACAAATATCCCCTCGACCCCAAGAGGTTGGGTGCACCCTCATCCCAATAGACGGTGATGTACAAGAGTTTAGTGCCCTGCAAGACTATGCACCAGGAGTAGAGCTGACGCCGCCGTCAACCCAGCCAGATCCTCAAGCTCTGGATGCTGCTGGTAGTGGGTGCTGAACCCCATACTACAATCACTGACTTCTAGTCAGTGCGGAGCTCACAAAAGCCTGCACTCATGGGCGATGAGAAGGATGAGGATGCCCAGACACATCAGGCAGGGAAGGTAGGGACTGCATGCGTGCCAGGTATGCTATAGCCTACTAGCTAGCGCGAGGCCACTTGTGATGAAGCTACATAAAGCTACCGTCCTTTTTCACACACAATCATACCAGGAGGCCTTCTGACACCTGGGGCACGAGCAAGAGTGTATGTGTGTGCGTGTTAGGCCCTGCCAGGTGGTGTGTCCATCTGCTCATATTTTTACATGTGTGTGTGTGAAAACAGGGGGGTGTATCTTCGCCCGTGGCAGCTACCCTGCGAAACCCTGCCTTCCCCGGTATTTCGGGGCACCCTCATCCAGTCACCCTAGTCAACTTCTCAGTGGATCGCTCAGGTTCCGCACCCACCACCAGCATCCAACGGAATCTGCCGGGTCGATAGCGGCCCAACTCCATTCCTGGCCGGCTCGCGGGTTAACTATATCCCAGGCCACCACCGTCCATGAACTAGGGGCGCAATGCCTTCCACCATCGGAAGGACTTTTGACCCTAATGGGTATCGATCCCGGGATCTCCCGAGGGCAATGGTCGCGCCTTACCAGTAGTGCCAAACCCTAGTATAATATAAACCCTAATAAAAACCCTAGTAAACCCTAGTATAGTACTTGTGTATATGTGTATGTGCAGGAGGAGGGAAATAGAAGCCAGTTGTTACTAAGCCTGTTGATTTGGAGGTGGGGGTGGGAATGATGCATGCATTGCGTCTGTAGGTTGATATAGACCTATTTTGGTGCCCTTGCTTGTGGCATTAACAATGCCGATGGCAAGCAGCTATTATATGATGAAGCATGATTTGCGAATGACTACATATGCAGATATCATAATGAATGACTTACTATCTACTTGTATTGAAGTATGGCCCATTTCGGGTCATACCGAAGTATAGTTTTCACTATGCACCACATTTGACATGTACGGCGGTCGAATGTTCAGTGATCGGAGACGATGGGACTCGAACCCACAACCCCCAGATTAGAAGTCTGGTGCGCTATCCATTGCGCCACGCCTCCACACCTTTGCTTCTCTTTGGTAAGGGCTTACCCCAAGCTTGTGGTTAGGTTACCCACCTACCTTCGCCCATAGCCACATGGGTAATGGAGCCAGGGTGGTCTGGTGAAGACCTGTAGGTAGTTTGATGGCCAAAAAGGGGCACATCGTAATACGAAGCCAAATGCAACCTGCGAAAGGGGCCAGAGTTCCCTCAAGGCGATAATCAGCAGCGATAAGGATTTACCTCACCTACTGAGTGTGCCAGGCGTGAAGGCTATGGACCTTGATAAGCCCACACAGGAGTTCGGCTGGTTGACAGGGTTTTACGGTTTATTGCGGTTGATAAAAAGGGACCACAGGGTGGGTAATGACCGCATTCAGTTGCAGTTGAAGCAGTACAAGCATTGCATGCGCCCCCTTGTGAATCATATGGACTTTGGGATCTGAGGGCTTTGCGCCCAACTGTTTTAGGCTCAGTAGGCTCAGTAGGCTTGCAAGTTGCAGCAACAGCAAAGTTCACGCAGGGTCAGAACGCGCAGCAGTACTAATCCCTTCTACCGTCCTTCCCACAGTAGTGAAAGGCGCCATATTGGATAGGGGGTTCCCTTTCCGCCACTCCAAAGTGCGTGTTCCGTAGCACAGATACCTAGGGCCCTCTGCACAGCCATGTTTTACATGTACTGTACCTGGTATGTCACATGCCAATCTTCAATGCCTTCAGCCTGAAGTCTTGGACGGTATATTTAAGGGTGTCACACGTGGGGCCCATGCCAGAGTACGGCACACGTACGGCGCTCACCAGAATGGTGCCAGTCACGGCGGGCGATTGTGTGCGACTACTGTGCAGTATCTGTGCAAACCATGGGCCGGGGTGGTTATGGCCTGCATTGCACGAGTTGATCGATTCCTCCAGCTGCATCGACATCAAGTCTCTGCAGGGGAAGGAGTAGGTAGTGTAAGGCATCTCAAAGAGCGACTAATCTCAGCAGCATCAGCCCATTCACGCAATCCCGCGTCACTTCAAGAGGCCATCTGTAGCAGCCGGTACACAGTACGGTGCTATAAATACGCGCAGAGCGCGACCACCAGCAACTCGAGAGACCTTTTCAGCGGTCAGCTGCTACACCATCAAATCACCACATGCATATGCAGATGAGTGGTGGGAGGAAATCGAGGAGGAAATCACGTCACTGCACCGACAAGGTACGACAAGGTACTTGGAACAGCGACCCATGAGTGTTGTACCAGGCCGATGGGTCTGCAACATTAAGGTTAGCTGAGTGGCGCTGGAGGTGAGGTAGAGTGTAGTATTCTAGGTATCACGGGATCACGTATCCGCCGATCACGATCGATTCGTTTCTGCAAAAGACGTGATACAACATAGCGGCACCGCTAGTCTGTTCTACATTACCCGTAACGGCAATCTTGGTTTCAACCTTACCGTCCGTAACGGGGTATCCATGTGGATAAATTGTTTCCAAAGGAAGCTTTTTTCCATGCTTTTTACACGAACTTTGTTCGGGACTTCAGAGGAAAGAAACACACTTTTCTTTGCATCTTTACCTAAAATCGCTAAAAAAACTAAAAAGCCTCATGCCATGTTTATTTTAGTATAATAAAGGACCTCAACCTGTTAGACCTGGTTGTAAAGTGGCAGTCAGTCTGTCGGAAGGACGTTTTTGGACGTTTGGTGGCGAGGTTAGCGCAGTGCACGGCCACGTGGCTGCTGCTCATCCCACCTTGCGCACCATTTACACTTCCTACGCGGTAATAATAATAATGTAAGTCACCACACCTCGCTCTACTCCAATGCTGGCACTTTAAAACCAGGCAGCCATATTGCAGCAGCAGGGCCGCCAGGTATCTATCTGTTCTTGATTATTACATATTCACCTAGTTTCAATCATCACATATTCACCTAGTTTCATTTATTACAAAGGTTCACCACACTAGTTATTTCACGGACCACCCTCGCTCTATCCATGCGAATATGGGTTGGTATGCTAGCTAGGGCATCCCCAGCAATTCCGAAATGCCGCTTCTTTTCGAACCCCCACCTCCCACCGCTCATCATCACTCGCCATCTGCACACTTTACTTCCCTGCCGCCGCCGCAGCAGCAGCCTTCCTGCGCCGCCGCAGCAGGGCCACCAGGAACAGCACGTCCACAGTCACCATGACACCACTCCAACCCACAAAGAAGGCTGTGTAGGCGCCCCAGCCCAGGCGGCTGTACAGCGGCCCCGCTAGCACACCCGACAGCCCCGTCCCGAACAGCACCAAAGTGTCCATCACGCCTTGTGCCACGAACTTGGTGGTTGAGTCGTAGGTGTTGGTGACCAGAGCCGAGGCGCCTACGTAAGACCAGTTCCAGCCGAGTCCAACCACTGAGTTGCCGGCGAAAAAGATGGGCAGGTGTTGCCCCGCGAAGAAGATTGCAGCTCCGGCGGCTAGCAGCACGGAGCCGCAGGTCATGGTCATGTGGGCGGTGATGAGGCCAATGACATCGCCGGTGAATAGCGAGGGGAGGAACATGCAGATGATGTGAACCTGGATAACCTGCTGGATAGAGGGCAGATTGTAAGTATGTATATAAACATATGCGCGCATTTGTGGATGTGGATATATGTGGTTATGGATGTGCTTGTGGATACACGCATCAGAAACGACATGATGGATGGGTGGATGCATGGATGGGTGGATGCACGGAGGAGGGGTGGATGCACGGAGGAGGGGTGGATGCACGGAGGAGGGGTGGATGCACGGAGGAGGGGTGGATGCACGGAGGAGGGGTGGATGCACGGAGGAGGGGTGGATGCACGGATGTCCTCGCGGAAGCCCACATACACCCATACGCACATGTGCGCATGTCGAATGAGAGCAAAGCAGTGCTCGCCCAACATACATCAGAACTGAACGCGAGTGTGTGACATGCAGATAAGGTTGTTCCTAGTGAACTATTTGCAGGTGCCTGCTGTTGTATCACATCTTATCGCAGGAAAAGAACCGAGCCGTGGATGCTAGATCCCATGATACCCCCTGGATACTACACCCTTACACACCAGCAGACGAAACCAACAGAAAACAAAAGCAGAATGCACAAAACCGGCAGGTGGATGCGCCTCGTGGCAAATCAGTACAGGGAAAATACACAAACCGGAAAAACGAACCACCTCGTCTGCCCCCTATCACACCTGCCGTGCCCTACCTGCGTTGTCTCTCCGAAGCTGTACTTGGAGTCCCGAATGGCCAGAGGACTCGCCGTCATCATACCTGCAGTCGGGGGCCATGCCATGATCGGCGAGAAGAAGAAGGGGGGAAATCAATGATTTCTGGTTCCAACTTAAGGCTGCGGCTCGGAAATAATGGAATTATTGCCCTTCCCATGGGGCCAACAACACCCTCAACAGTAGTGCGTTATAATCATGCCAGATCATCGCTTCAAGGCGAAAACTGGCATCGCCATCAGCACTCACCGCCACCTGCATCAACTAACCCACCCACCTGATGGGGGCGGGGCATGTGCGCCGGGCGGGATCCTAAGAACCCTTCAGCAAGCATGATGCATATTACCAATATATGCAACTATGCTCGCTGGCCATTTTTTCCTCCAGCTCTCTTTGTTATCTCCATCTCCATCTCTGTCCTCATGCGTCCCCATATGGTGTGAGGCGGCGTAAATGGGACGCACACTGTAGTAGCTGGCCGCCGAAAAGGCCTCTCGAGATGCTGGTTCACACGCTTAGCGCATATTTGTAGTTGTTATGTTTGATGTACAGTGTGCCGGCTACTACAAACGCACACCCACCTACCCACTCACCTGCCATTGTGAAGTAGGAGAGGCTGGCAGTTATCACTGGCACCAAGTAGCCCCACGACAGGAACAATCTGCGCAGGGATTCCCGTCTTATGCCACCCTCAGGTCCAGAGCTGTGACCGTTGCTGCTGCTACTGCCGCCACTGAAATGACTTTTGTTGCTGACCTGTCCCGCCATTGCTGACTCAGAGTCCCAATGCCTCTCCAGGGGGGCCCCCACTGCCGCCGACGCCACTACTGTGGCCTCTGCAACAGGGCCTGAACCACAACCTGAACCAAGACCGGGACAGGAGGATTCGCTGTCCTGCCGCCGTTTTGTTGCTGTGAATTCCCTGGTGGTGGTGCTCGGCTGCTGCTGCTGCCGCTGCTGCCAGGTCGCGACGAGCTCCCGGGCAGTTGCCCCTTCAGCATCATGGCTGATGCACTGCTGTGCGACACAACCTGCAGCCCCCGCTGCCCCTACACCTGCACTCACCGCTGCCATGGCTGCTGCAACTGCTGCTGGCTCTGCCGCTCCCCCTGCTGCTACAGACCCCTGCGCGTCTGTAACACCTACATGCATGTATTGCAGCCAGCGGGTAGTGGATGGCAGTGCCTGCTGCCGGTCCTTGTGAGCCCCTCGATCGGAGGATCGTGGTGGTGGACGCCCCACCATTTCCAATGCTCCTCTTGCTTCCGCTAGGGGCCCTGTTCTGGCTCCCTCTAGTGCTCCTGTTTCTGGACCTGCTTCTGGGTTTGCTACAGCTAATGCTTGAGGGCTTGTTGGCAGCTCCAGTCCGTGCTCATCACTGCCAGCAGTTGCAGGTGCCATCCCATGACGACCATCATAGGTGCTACTGCTGCTGCTGCTGCCGCTGCTGGTGACAGCAGCAGTGACGGCAGTAGTGATGGCCGCAGTGGCTGTGGTTGCAACAGTACCAGTAGCAGATGCAGCAGCACCAGCACCAGCACCAGCACCACCATCAGCACACGCCTTCTCTGCTGCTGCCGCCAACACCGGCAACATGTGAAACTCCACAACCGCAACCAGTATAGCATACAGCAAGCACAGTCCTGTGACAAAGCAGTACGTGGCAGTGTACGGCGGCTTCATCGCGTGCAAAGTGTGGCGGCCGACCTCAGGCCCCACCACGCATGCCAGCACTGCTCCTGTAACCACCAGCGAAAGGGCCTTGTGCTGCTGTCCAGCCGGTGCGAATTCAGTGGCTGCGAAACGCAAGCTGTTGGCCTGTGCGAAGCAGACGCCGAGGGGAATGCTGCCCACTATGAGCAGCCACAAGAGTTTAAATTGTGCTGCCAGGACCAGGAGCACCCCGCCGCCAATGCCCGCAGCTGCGGAAATAAGGAGTACAGGTTTGCGGCCAAATCGCTGCATAAGGAGTGACCCAGGGGTCATAGACACCGTGGCAGCGGCCATCATTATGCCGGCAGGTAGGGTGGAGGTGGCAGAGCCAGTGTAGTCACGTGCAGCGAGGGTGGTAGTGCTGAGCTGGATGAACATGACGGAGATCTGCGTGCCACATTATTGCCATCGACATTACATCATGTTATTAGCTTAGGCATTATATTGGCTGATAATAATGATAACCATGATTCTCGTGACAAAAGTCGTACCGAAGTTTTGCAAAAGTCCGGAAGTACAGGCGGTGGGAGCCGTCTGAGGTTCCGCATATCACATACGCGTGCAACCTCGCAGCTGGTGCTAGCTATATATCCTGCTCTGGGTCAACATGTGCCGGGGCGCGAGGATGACGCAGTGGAAGCCTGTAACATGCGTTCACAGCAGGAATGTGTTGCAGCCAGCTGTGCGGTACTCACCATAAGGCACCAACCCATTGACAATCCAAGTATATTCAGCATCCGCCGATGGTATGTCATTAAGGATCCGGGAGGCGACTGCAGCACGCCGAGACCATCACAAACACCGCCAATGGACTTGCTGCCGTTGGTACCGTTAGGTACTGCATGCAAGCCCATCCTCGTCGCGTTGTCCTGAAAATCCTAACAGTGCTATTGAGCTCTCTGTGTCCCAGAGAGCGCCCGGCGCGCCCGTACGTTCTGTGCTCCGTTGAGAACTGCCGGTGTTATCAAACCCTCAAATCTATTGCTGTTTACTGCAGTATGTTGGTACTATAAGTCTAATATGATTCCGTAACAGCATATGTCAGCAATGCTTGTTAACAAATGTGCGGCCTGCAAGGTCCACATACAAGCGTGCAGCAATTCCGAGCTTCATGAAGGATTGAAAAAAAGTCACGAATGATAGGTTCAACATAATGGTTCATCCACGATCTCCATAAGATCCCCATACATAGGTGAGTCCAGGTTCGTGGCCTCCAAAGTGTTAACTTACGTTTCACTGTACCCGAATGAGTCTTCGGGTTCAAGTATTCAAGTAAAATATATGTAGGTAGTTACCAAAGGATGGATACGAATGATTCAAGAAACGGGACACATGCGTTGCAGTCGTTAGCTGTTGACCGTTTTAAACATGACATAGCCGCGACCAGAGAGTAGAGCTGGATAACTCGTCGTTTGCGAAGGAGCAACGACCACTTTTCAGCATAGCTTGCTCTCTCGGGCGAATCAATATCATTATTATATACCTTTATATGATGGTGCCATTCTAATTTAAGAAAGCGTCGTACACGTGAACATCAGACATGGAGTACGAGTTAACAAACGATCCATCAAGCAAACTAAAACCTTGCAAGTTACCAAGGAGACTTCTCTTTCATGAAATGTACCGAACAGGCTGGCGCACACCTGGATACTGTCTGCTCCAAAGGCGTGCTCCTTCGGTGAGCCTTAAAGTCACGCAGGAATGGCCAAGTTGCGGCATATGAGCTCGAAGATGGTCCATCAGCATCCAACATCAGCAGCGTCGGTGTCGATGTGGCTGTGCAGTGCTGGCTGGACAGCCTGCGGCATGATCAGCGCCAGCCACTCTGGGCTGCGCTCATGGACATGTGACGTGGTGTGGGTGTCATGGAGCCGCGGCCCTCCCTGAAGCGGCTGCAGAGGGAGAGGAAGGAAACGCACAGCTAGGGCGCCTGATGCAGCAGCTGGTGACCAGCATGTGGTGGTCCATGCAAACCTTACGTGCCTCTTACACCACGGTGCAATGGGAGGTAGGAAAGGGTATGGCCCTGAACCTGACTCCAGGTGTGCGGATTACCTAGCTCTAAAACCCCAACCCACCCGCTCCCCCCACATCGCACTCATAGATGTGAAGGCGGGCACGCGACAGCTCCATGGACGATGGATCTTGAGCAACCAAAACGACCGTCTTGCGGGAACCGGTTCTTACAACTGGGCTGGTGAGGATATAAAATAATTGTTGCAAGAAATTGCATATTAAGATGCTTAATGACCCATCAGCGATAAAACCTGTTTGGGACAGGTACCCAATTGCCCCGGCTTTTATGCGCATAAGGTTGTCCTTGGCGTTATGAGAAACATTCTGGAGACATTGAGCTTCAGGTAACGATATGGATGAGACGAGCTTATTCTTGTAATGCTCGGCCAGGCCGGTAGCTACCAAACGAAAAACAGCTGCCGTACTGTCGCAAGTCAGCGACCTGCGATGCCGGGATAGATTCCCTGCAACAGGTTCTGAAATAACCTTTAAAGTTGTGATCTTCTTACAGTTAATACTGTGTGCTAAACATCCAATACTACCGCAGTGATCTGCGTTGTTCAGGCCAAATGCAGCGCTTAGGTCACGCAGTTGCGAAACAATGGCCATTTCTATCATTCCAAGAATTTTCATCAGCTTCAAAGACACTTTGCAGCGAAGGGCCTAGGCTTATACCATGGGTCCTGCCATCTTTCATCGCAACCTCCTTACCGGCACGCACGTACGCATGCAGCTCTGCAAGCGCGATTAGCATGAACCACCAGAAAGATCACGCCCATGCATTACGTGAGGACGAGGTCTGTGAAGCGCTCTACTTCTCCGGAACCGCGCCGGCGACCGACTGTCTGGGGCCCATCAGTGTCCGCGACATTCCTGGTAGGTTCCCCAGCAAACTCACTTCTCAGCTAAGTTCCCCAGTCAATGTTTCGTTTGACCAACGGCATCGAAACATTGACTGGGGAACTTAGCTGAGAAATGAATTGCCATTGGTCAAAGAAGCCGGACTGCACGGGGCCAGTAGGAAATTCTTTGCCGGCCCTAGCTGTACGGTTCTCGCTTTCAGGTTGGGATAAGGAACAATGTAAGCTGTTAGGGCCTAAAACCTGCGTAAACGGCTTCTAAGTACGGATTCATAAGTGCAGAATCAACGAGCTCGCTCGTAGCACTCGTCGCCCATCACCCTAATCCACCACACGTTACGCCAGCCCCGCTTCGTCCCACTCTTCGAAACCCCGCCGTGCCCATTTCTCCCCCCCCCCCTCAAATGCTCCCGGTTGACTCCCCCGTCTCACCATAACCCCCCGTCCATTCCCCCTCCACCCCCCGTCCATCCCATATCCTACACCGCCTACTGGTATTTTGCTATACCGTCCATTCCCACCCGGCCCCGCCCCGAAACCACAACTTCAGGTAAGGGCCGAGGCTTGGTTGCCCAGTGCGAGATGCGGCCAGGGGATCTAGTGATGGCCGTACAGCCGGTCGTTGTACTTCACGGACAGCAGGTACGTATCACGGCTCCTCGCGGGAAGAGAGTCTGAGACTTCTGAACAGGCGCTTTCTTGTCGCGTTATGTGTACGAGTGTAGCATCGACAAAACACGTGCGTACGGCAGACTTACTCGTGACGCTAAAACATCTTGACATTCTATCTCGGCCAGCAGCTGCTGCTGCTGCTTACCTCGCTGCTGCCTCCGCAGCTGCTCCTCCACCCGCGCTTTTCGTATTCATACTTGGCCCCCATTTGGGCGCCCATATCCACATCCCCTTACCCACATCCGCAAGGGCGGCTCTCACTCCGTTCCCTGGGACCCCCCTCAACAGGTGATGTGATGTGGAGGCTCGCCCAGTTGTTTACTTCTTTTTATTTTTGCTGCAACATTCCACCTCATTCCATACACATACATACACACACACTGCCCTGCAAAACCCTCCAAGAACACACCCACCACTTATCAGCACCACTCAGACCCGGCGCCATTACCCGCCTCTTCCCCCCAATTCCTCCCTGTCTATTCCTGGATTCGGAGTATCCGCCGGGGGCTCTGGCACCCAGGGCTTCACTCGTCTGTGGCTCGCCTTCTGTGGTGTGCCCTACACACCCCTTCCCCCCCTACCCTGACCCACGGGGGTCAACCGCCAACCCGCCACCCGTACACAGGACGCGATGCCCTCCCCCGAGGCCCTCGTGGAGTATCTGGAAAAGTCCTGGCCATCATTACCAGTACGGCACCGCTCCATTGTACGACAAATGTTCGTTGGATCAATCGACACTCATGCCAGAACCACCAGCAACCACCAACCACCAACTGACAGGAAGTTGCCTATCGCGTCTGAGGCTCGGGCTGCAGCAGACGCAGAAACTGCCGCAGGAACTTGCGGGGATGGCAATGATAATGGGGCCGTTGACTTTAGGGCCATTGTGTCGTACAATGCGTACGGCGACGAGTACGAGGATCTCCCCGCAGCTGACTTGCGTGGGCTTCCCCCACGGAGTCACGTGGGTTTGTGGCCGTACTTTAACCAACTCAACCACGCGTGCGCGCCAAACTGCGTGCACTATGTCGTGGGCTCCACGATGGTCGTACGCGCCGTACAGGTGGGTTGCCGTACGGCTTACGGGGAAAGCAGGGCTGGGTGGGCGCCGGAGGGTTTGGAAGGGTTTGGAAGGGTTGGAAACGTGGTGGATTGGGGCTTAAGAGGCGGGAAAGGGGTGAAACGGGGTTTGGTTTCGGAGCGTGAAGAGGGGTATGCCCGTGTATATGGCTAAGTCTGAGTAAATATTGTAAAAAGCGGGCTAAGAAATGTGAGGGGAGGATCTCATCAATCCATCAAACCATCAATCCATAAATCCATAAAACCATAAAACCATAAATCGGAGGTCTGAGGAATCGTAAGTACGTTAACTAGGGTTGCGAATAATTAAAATTAAATTATTCGATTACCCTACTGATGTTGATGGCAGCAATAATACATGAACAAGAACACATAATCACCCTGTAACAACATACATACATACATACATACATACATACATACATACATACATACATACATACATACATACATACATACATACATACATACATACATACATACATACATACATACATACATACATACATACATACATACATACATACATACATACATACATACATACATACATACATACATACATACATACATACATAACTGGTAATGGTGCGGAGAAATGCTCCAGGTGGTGCCAACACTGGCTGGTGATTGGCGTAGTGCTGTACGACATTTTGGGGCGTCCTGAGGGAGGGACGACACTGGGCTGCCGGTGGGTGGGATGTACTGCGTACGGACGAAGTACGGATGTACGGCAAAAGATTTTTAGGGCTTGCCATTGTCTTGCTGTTAACTTTGTGTGTTCTTGGAAGTAGTGTTGTACAATCGTCGTACAGACATTTTGACGTCATCGGTCATCATGGCCTGCTTCCCTGCTGTATCCCCCCTAGGTAATACCGGAGGGCTGTGAGTTGCTCGTGTCGTACCTTGGACGAGACGACCTGGCTCCACGACAAGTACGACAGGCAGCATTAAAAGCCCGATACGGCTTCATATGCAACTGCACGCGGTGTCAAACGGAGGCCGAGCTGCCGGAAGAGCTACAGGCTCTGCTGCAGCAATTGTACGACAGGGCTCAACACGAGCTCGCGCCGCGGTTCGAGCGCCTGGCGGCATCAGCGGCATCAGCGGCGGAGGAAGAAGGATTTTACGGCGCCGCTGGACCGTACGGCAACATTTACGATGATGATGATGACGGAAGCGATACTGACGGCGTAGAAGCGGCGACCGGCAGCAACAGCGGCGGCGGTGGCGGCGTGGCGTCCTCCGCTTTGGATGCTGGGGCGGCGGCGGCGGCGGCGGCGGCGGCGGCCGGCACCACCAGACTAGTCCCTGGGTCGCGCTTGACGGCGGCGGAGATGGCGAAGCGGGCGCTGCGAAAGGTATGTTTGGGGGAGAGAGGGTTTGGGGGGAGAGAGGGTTTTGGGGAGAGAGGGTTTTGGGGAGAGAGGGTTTGGGGGAGAGAGGGTTTGGGGGGGAGGATTCGACACCCGGGACGGGTTAGCTTGGTTTGGAATACGGAATTATGTAGGTGATGTGTTCCTGATGTGCATTCGTACAGACGTGTGTGCATGCGTGTACACACATACATACAGACGCACGCTTGCCGCCTTGGAAATCTCGCACTCTACTCGACCGGCACATGGAAGGCTACCTGCTTTTCCTGCTTCACTCCCTTTGCATGCATGCATGGTTTCAGCAGGGGAGCGCTGCTGCTGCTGCTGCTGATCTTCATGGTTCCGGAGCGAGTAGTGCTGGTGCTGGTGCTGGTGCTGCGTCAACGGCTACTGTTGTCGACCCGTTCCCAACGACCACCTCAACTACCTCAACTACCTTAACGACAACACCTCCCAATCAGTGGGCTGGCCCATCATCAGGGACGCAGCAGCAGCAGCAGCAGTTAGCCTCCCTGGAGTCGAGACTGGAGGACTGTGCCCGGCAACTGCACCTAGCAATACAGGTCCGGTACGGTGCAGTACGGTACGGCACGTGAGGAGGTTCCCAGCGTACGGAGGTACACATCAACAGATTCCCAACCTATTAACCTGCAGTCTGGACATACATACATACATACGCACAGACACCGTTCACGTTCACACTTCGTCGGATTAAGAGGGGAACGAAATAGAGGGGGGCAGCATCAAACCACTATGTGTTCGTACTCTCATATCATGTATATTATATACAATTATTATCATTCTCTCACATCCACTCTATATCTAGTATACGTATATGTACATGTATACATGACTAGGGGCTTGGGCCCCTAGTAAGGGCAATGCTAAGGTAATTCCTGGGTATGGGTCATTGTGGCGCCCTCAAAAGCGACTCTTTTCCAGCCGTCTATGGCGATCGATCTGCAATTCCCCCACTGTTTTGCGAGCCAAGATATCACATGTGACACACGTACGTTTCCTCACATTTCTTCCTCGCATACATCACACTTTTCTCTTGCATGGAATCTGTCTGGTTGCATTTGTGTTTCTGTAGGAGCTGCAAGAAGAGGATGAGGCCTTGGAGGATGGGGGGGCTGCTGCCAGTGGTGGGATCGCAACCGCCTCCGCAGCCTCGCAGGCGCCCGTGGCAGCATCTGCAGCCTGCAGGCTCCCTGGCTCTGGACGCCAGCTGACCCGGGTTCAAGCCGCACAGGCGGCAGCTTATCAACTTATGGAGCTGCTGCACTTGCACGCGGAGGTCACGGCCGCGGCAGCAGCTGGGGGCGGCCGCACTCAAGCTGCGGCATCCGGGGCTCTGCAGGCGTGTTGGCATGTGTTGGACGCCATTAGTCGGGGCTCGGAGCTGCAGGTGGAGCTTACTCACTTACTTACGAGGGGCTTTTGCTTTCGTGTGTGGCTGATGGCTGCTCGAAATAAACAGACAGGCGCATAAAAAACACACAAGAAAAAACTATCCTCTTATGCTCCTATCACTATCATTATCACTATCACTCTTAAAAACGAAGAAGGAGAATTATGCCGAAATCACCGAGAGCTATCCGGTCTGCTACTCTCTAGCTGGGTGCTCACTACCCTCTGTTAGAGACCCTCCTTGACGGGATACCGCACGTCGCGAGAAGTCTTGTGAAGTCTTGTGAAGAGGGGAGGCGGTCGTCTTGTGTGTGGCCATCCTATTTACTTGTGGGGGATGGATAGTTGCGGGTGGGGAAGGGGCTTGGTGGATGGTTGGGAAGATAACCAACACCGTACCCAACACCATAACCAACACAACAACCAACACAACAACCAACACCGTAACCAACACCGTACCTCTCAAGCTGCTGCTACTGCATGTATTGCTACGTAGGTATTTCAGGCTTGTAAAATGCTGAGCGACGCGCTGCAAGCAACATCACGCCACCACAACCATCGCCACGGCAAGGACGGCAGGGACCGAACGGCGAAGACAGCCGAGCGACAGCCCAAGTCGTCACCGTCACCGTCACCGCCAGACGGCTCTCCTCTGCCTACCTGCCCGCCCCCAGTCCTGACGACTCCGCCGCCGGACGAGGTTCGGGAGGCAGCATCTCTGCTGGGGTTGTCACTGCTGGCCCGGTACGGCAAACTGCAGGGCCAGCGGCTGACGCGGATGACGCAGGCAGCCATTCGGACGAGCCAGCGGTTCTTCTGAATCTACCTGAAAGGGGGGAAGGGAAGGGAGGGAAGGGGGGGAAGACGAACTACGAACGAGTGAAGCTGGAAGGGAGAAGATGGAGGGGGTAAGGGAGGGGAGGGAGGGAGGTGTGTTAAGGACCGGTAAAGCAGAGGGGAAGCCGTGATTGTCGTACGTCCGTACACACACAACCCAACACTTGCAGGAGAAGGAGACTCTGCCATTTTCTTCAAGCCTGTGTGTGTGTGTGTGAGCTCTGGCATGTTGGGGCACAGCTTATGTGAGCAGCACGGTATGCGGCGCGTGAGGGTTTGGGGCACATTAGGGATGGATGCGCGACTGGATGGATGTGTACTGGAACGAGCTGATGGATTGTATTTCAAAGATGGAGCTTTTCACAGTTCCAAGTTTCTCATCATCATCATCATCGTCATCGTCATCATTACCATCATCATCTAGTAGATTCGTCACGAAGTGTTGTAGCGCCTTATAGCGTTACAGAACTTAATCGCTGCGTGATTAAGGCATGGCTTGATAAGACTGAGCTACGAACACTCTACGAATACCTTAGAGTTCAGACGTGCTTCCTTACCAAGGAGTGCCACGCACTTGAGATACCTACAGACTCATCGGTTCGAGCAACCGATGTAGATCTGAAGAGACGTCGTACAATAGAAGTTGTTACGGCCTCCTAAGCAACGGGTATTTATACTCGGGAGGAAGCCTGGGAATAGAGATCCATCCATCAATCAAACCAACAATACACCGGTGAGGGAGATACCAGAAGCCTACGCTTCTGACGCTCCTTACTCAGAACAGAGCCCAGTCCTTGACGGAGCGAATCCGTCCTGTAACCTGTCGGCCCTCGCCGCTATATCACGCGCTAACACGAAGAGGATTTCCACTTCCATGCAGCCTACGTAACATAGACAAGTGAGTGCTGTGTGGCCCTAAGGGGATCGCACAAGGCATGTGCGTCTCTTGCTTAAGACAGTTGCAAGGTGGCTGTTGGGGGAAAAGGCTAGTTGCGACCGCCTGTGTTGCAGCTTCCATACACGACCCTGCATCTTATCCCCCAGGGTAATAATGACAGACGGTCCCAGATGGCATGTGAAGTACTTTCTGGGCTTATCACGGAATTTGCATCCACCGATGGGTTCTTTTCCGAAAAGTTCGTGATATAACAGCACGGGAAAACTCTTCGAAGGTAGGACGACAGGGTGAATAGTTCTTAATAAATAGTTGTTAATAAAAACATCTATTAATCTGCTCATCTGCAGCGATCGGTAGTTGTGTCAACTATCCAGCATCGCTTTACCTCTTCCTCCCTCTCGCGGCAGCATGAGTTGGAGACTGTTGATCCATTGAAAGGGATGAGCAGGGGTGAGCACTTCTCAACCACCTGCCTGTGGATTGATGAGACAATTTACAAAATCGGCGTAAGGCTGTAAAATATCAGCCATGATACTGTTCACGTTATGGGTTTCCATTCATATGCACGAAGTGCAGGGCGTCGGTGTGGTGGGTTGCCGAAAGGCCATGATGTCGTGATGTAAGGCGAGGGAGGGAAGAGCCTAATACTGGCAGAGCGCGAGAAGGCGGAGGAGATACGGCCGTGGTGCAGGGCGAGAGAGGAGCAAGTCGCTACCGGACGGGAAAGTGATTGGAAATCGCACATGCTCCCTACCTGCCTTGTGACGGCATTTGTGGGATCGAATTCCCGCATGGACCTTGGTGCCCATTCTTGTATCCAGTCTTCTGGATATCCCGCGATCCTGGTGATCTGGAACTTGGTCGCATGGTGCTCCGAAGCCCTAGGGATCTCTGTCCTAAATAATCAGTAAAACATTTTCCATATTGTGAGCTGCATGTTAAGGTGGTGGTGGACGTGGTACATCTTTCGTAAAAAGTTGGTGAACTGTATTTGTGCACTATCTTTTGAACCCCATGGCCACAACACTACTACTGAGCTCGCTTCAGTAAAGTTAGCCGTCACCATCGCCATTTCCCTCGTCACGGCTCAGACAATTATACCATTATCATACAGGCCACTTCTTTCCTGCTCCCCACAGGATTGCTGTAAGTGCGCCTCATGCAGCTGCCGAGCTACGTCTGCGTGCTTCCAAGGGCTATTGGCGGAACATGCTCCCTTCAGGCGTTCCGGCTTAAATTATTCCTGCACCAATGTTAGCCTGATCGTTTGAATTTTGGCTGTATGGGTTCGTATGCAGCGCCGGTCCCTCGGGTCTTTCAGGGTCTTCCAATTCAAAAGCGATATACAAAGCAGCACAGTGAATGCGGTTCATGCAGCACTTTAGGATGTCACCAGTTCTACGTAGTTTCAAAGTTTAAGCGAAGAGTTGCGCACGTGAAAGCTTTGTCATCTCCAGGGTCACTTTACTGCTCGCAACCAAACTAGTAGTAATTCCACCAGACTTGCACCTGCTTGTTACCGAGCGATATAGCACGCTATAGAAATACCATACAGGATGATGGCAACCCCAAAGCAAATAAATTCGACTGAGTCAGCGTCAGGTTAGTTGCGGGACCGCGCTCGGTTAGGCTTTCCCCCTCCGAAAGTAGCCTGCCTGCCGAAACGAAATGTTATGCGGCCAGCTCGTCACGCTCTCTACTACTTCTGCACTTGGTTCCCCAGATCTCCATCGGCAAGCCGTGTTGCGCCAGTTTTCCTGCCACACACTGAGTGGAAGTTAAAATCTTTCTCAATCCTCGTGCCACTTATCTACGAAGATTTGCAAACAAAGCCGGAATCTATCACGCCTATCCACGCCCTCGCAAAACTGCATTAAGGCTCTGCAGATGACAAGAGACCGGATCACATATTTAACAACGCAACGCAACGCAAATGCATGATGACGACTTTGGCTAGGCTAACCGCGAATTCGGTCGTGCAGGAGTCCTCCACGCTCCGCACCGCGCCGTCCTCCAGCCCGCTGGGACGTCGGAGATGCGGCCGAGTACGAGCACGATGGCAACAGCTGCCGCTGACAGCGGCGACGCAGCCGCCGACAACGCCACCGCCGACAAGGGGATCCCTTGTCCCACGCGGATACTCCTGTACGGCGTCCGCGAGGAATCCGGCGGTCCTGTTCGCGACTCTGAGCCGCTGAGCGAGGTTGTTGATTTCATGATGTCCCGCTCGGAGCGCTGAGGGGTTGGGGCGATGGCGGCGGCGCGATGGCGTCGGCGATGGAGGCGGCGCGGCGGAGACGAGCGATTGCTGCACGCACCGTTGGTGATATAATTCAAGCTTAGGGGCTCGTGCCTTTCATGAAGCATGACCGTGTGTGTGGTAGAGGGCGTGGTCGACGACTTTTGGTCGGGATGGGTCTATGTGGGATTCCGAGAGGCGCTATCAGAGGCACTGGATGGATGGATGGATGGATAGATGCAGACTTAGGCCTTGATGGTTTGGGCATTTGTACGGCAGTGTGGTGTACGGAATGCGGTAGATATGCCACAGTAGTGGTATATCGGCACCGCATGTTGTTGCGGTTGTTGCTGTTGTTGTTACAGAGTGGGGGGCTTCGGGGCCACTTGCACAGATTGTATAACGAACGCTCCGGCTCGTTTTGTACATATGTGCGCTGGAGGGCCATAACGGGCCGTATCGCTGCGCACACGCGCCCTACGTCTCTCCGGCTCTATTGCAGCGCCTCCGTAGAGTGCGATTTTTTGTTAACGCTGGCCCCGAACGGGTCGAGTGCATCAGCACAACACAGCCTCCTCAGAATGCGATTTTTCATGTCTCAAGACCAGGCGACGATTAGTATTACAGCATCAGTAGGCAGTAGCGTCACTCGTACCTTTACACTCGTACCTTTACTCGCAGTCCTCGTACATTCATGATGACATTTGCACAGAGGCTGCTGACAGGATCCTAGATGTTCGTTTTGGTTTGAGAATGTTTAGAGGGTTCTACCACCGAATGTGACATCAGAGGGAATGACGTACGACAGACGTACGACATGTAGCGTGTACACGCGCCATCGGATTAGGCAGCCCTGCAGCGCGCCGCTTTGGAAAAAGAAAAGCAAAATGCTTATTGGGCGGTTTTGGATATGTGGCAAATGCTGTTTGGCCTTGGCGAGTCACTGGGATGGCACTGGATGGCTCCCGCTTCAAAGCGAAGACGGGTTCCAGGCATACAGAAGCTATAGCGGCCTGGCAACGTCGTAGCCGCTGGTGGGGTGGGGGACGGCAAGGTTGATAGGTTGCCGTGCCGGCTTAAATTTTCAATCCCTTACTTGGCAACATCTCGAATGCGAATGCTTTAGGTTTGCACGCTATAGAAAACCTGTACGAAGGGTGTCTGTGCCGCGGGTTCTATGGAAAGTTCTTCGGCTTTCATATATGATGCGGTATTTCCGTTTTTAGGTATAAGGCACGTGCTACCTTACAAGAAGGTAACATGCAGTTTGCGACGAGGACACGCGGAAGTGCGGAGCAGGGCGGAGGTCTTGGAAAATGATTGAAGGGTTCGAAGCCAAGCCGCCAAACATGCCTTTTCTGAAAGTGTTCGCCGCAGGAAATGGTCTCAGCAAATAAGTGTTACGCTTGGAATGTTGTTGCCGTGTTTCATATTAAAATCATGGAGAAGGATATGTAAAATAGTTAAACGCCTGACTCTTCTCGTCATATCCCATGTAATGAATCATGAAACATCGTGCCATCATCAACATCGGGCCATAGCAATCGATGGGTCGCGTGCTGTGAGTTTCGGAGCGACCTTGTGCGAGCGACTGGACGCGACCCAGGCACACCTTACCCTTGGGCCGGCAAACAATCGATCGTGCGGTGGCGCGAAGTGCAAAAGCAGTGACGATGGGAAAACAGCTCCAATACGGACCGAGGCAGGATTGAACCATAACTCGATACCATATGAAAGGAACTGGCTCCAGTTGGCGACTGGAGGAAGCATTAGTTCCTAACTTGCCCGATCTGCAGAGCCCGACATCAAACGCTGACTGAGAGACAAGGAAGAGAAGAATACTAAGCTTACAAATAATGGTGTAGGAATGCCTTAAATAGTCTGGCAAAGCCTTGCACGACACAGAGTCGTACCGATCAAAGCCAAACCATACGTACTCGGTAACGAACACAAATCCCTTACAGTTATCAAGACATGGTTAATTATCTAGATGTACGCTTAGCTGTTTTTTTTCCGAAGCTCACTGGCTAAGTGAGTACGACGGGGTACGGACCTCCTACACAAAAAGACCTACTACGTATACAAAGCAGAGCGGTTACGCTCAGCGCTGTATATTCTAAATTCCAGAGCATAAACCAACCCCGAGTAACATGTCGTCATCCATGATGGTGTGCGGTCGGCAGCAGCGCCTTAGCATGCCGCGAGGGCTAGGGTCGGCTCTTCCTGGCAGTCGGTTGTGTCGATCTCGCTTGATCATTGTCGCCAGTGCTGCAAAGGACCCCAACGCTCCTATTCAGAGCAACCCACTCGGCGCTCTGTCCTCCCAAGCTGGAACAGTTACACCGCTTCCGCGCAGTGAAGAAGCCAGGAAGTACTTCCGAACGGTCAGTGAGCCTCCGCGCACTTATTGTAATATTATCTTACTGGGACATCTCCTGTGGTAGTAATTGTGCGGATTCTCCAGTAATGAAACGCTTACTGTTCGCGATGTACCTTATCGGGGAACGGGCTGCGGATGTCGGTGCAATGATTTGAACAGGGACTTGGGGAATGTCTTCGGTATCCTAAAAGATATACTTGCAGTGCAGTAAATGAATCTTGCGGGGGAAAACGTACGTCGGTCTGTCGTCCAGAGCACGTTCGCTGGCTGATGTAGTTGGTTTGACGACGTCCTTCTTCCTTCCTTCCAACCCTCAGGTCTATGACTTTCCACAATGGCAGACTCATCGGAGCCAGTTCCGTTTGATGAAGCGACTGTTCACCATCCCACAGTAAGTGGATGTGCAGGACCAACTCCACACAAGACTGTGATGTCACCTGCCGCAGTTCCGAATCTGAACTTCTCTTGGTTGGTTGGTTGGTTGTTCGAAGGACGAGCTGCCACCTATCTATTGGTACCTTCCTTATCGGCACCTCAGCGTGAACCCTAGTCCCCCACCCAATCTGAACCCCAGCACTCTTCCCCCTCCCGGCCCCCCCTCCATTTTTCACCCTTCTGCACCCCTTTTGACCTTCCCCTGCTATACCCCCCTCCCCCCAATGGCAATGACAACGCAGGTCCCACGTCATCCAAAACGCACTGCCCTCCATCCTCTGGGTGGGCATCGTGTCATCAGCCCTCGCCGCCTACATGACCGCCCACGACCAGCATATCTTGCCGGAAGGCTTCCCGTCCCTCTCCCCTAACGCCTCCTGCAGCGCATTCATCTCCAACACCAGCGTGGCGCTGTCGCTGCTGCTGGTCTTCCGCACGAACTCCAGCTACGGCCGCTGGGATGAAGCGCGCAAGATGTGGGGCGGTCTGCTCAACCGCAGCCGCGACATCATGCGTCAGGGCGCGACTTGCTTCCCGGACGATCAAGTGGAGGCGAAGAAGGCCCTGGCGCGCTGGGTCGTGGCTTTTGCGCGGGCGCTGCGGATTCATTTCCAGCCGGAGGTGTCGATTGAGAGCGAGTTGAAGAACATCTTGACGCCAGCTGAACTGGAGATGTTGGCGAAGAGTCAGCACCGGCCTGTGCGTGCCATTCATGCCATCAGCCAGGTCGGTCGGTGGGTCGGTCGGTGGGTCGGTCGGTGGTCGGTGGGTGGGTGTCTTGAATAGTGAGTGTGGCGATGTGGAGGGGAGGGTAAGGGAGGTTGTAGGAGGTCAGGGGGACGGCGGTCGCAGTGGTTCTTTGTGTTTTAGGGTGTGTGTGTGTTTTAAGGGTTTTAGACTGGTTCCCAAGGTCGAGGGGCTAGCGCGCACCCCCCAGTCCTCCTCCTCCGCCGCCGCCGCCGCCGCCGTCTCCTCCTGGCTTGTGATGGCCCCTGTGTGCATTCCTCCGTCAGTGTCTTGACATCCTGGATTTTCCCTTCTCTGCCGCCTCCACTTACTCTTACCTCGTCCCCCGCCTCCACTTACTCCTACCTCGCCCCCCGCCTCCACTTACTCCTACCTCTTCCCCCGCCTCCACTTACTCCTACCTCGCCCCCCGCCTCCTCCTACCTCCCCAACAACAGATCATCCAGTCGGTGCCCATGAGCTCCATCCACCAAATGCAAATGAGCAACAACCTCACATTCTTCCACGACGTGCTGGGGGGCTGCGAGCGGCTGCTGCGCGCGCCCATTCCAGTGTCGTACACCCGCCACACGGCACGCTTCTTGTTCATGTGGCTGACGCTGCTGCCGTTCGCGCTGTACGGGCAGTGCGGGCTGGGTGTCGTGCCTGTGTGCACGGGCATCGCGGCTGTGCTGTGCGGTATTGAGGAGATCGGCGTGCAGTGCGAAGAGCCCTTCGGGTAGGTGATGGTGTGTGTGTTTTGGTGGTGGTGGTGGTGGTGATGGTGTGCGTGATGGTGTTTGGTGTGTGATGATCGGGCTGGGGAAGGGGGGGAGGACGCGAAGGGGACAGGGAGAGCTGGGGACAGGGGGTGAAGTGATGTGATGTGAAGTGATGTGATGTGATGTGTGGGTAGCGGGGTGGTGTATGGTATCCGTTGGTCCTTAGTTTGCTAGGGTTCTACGTTTTATATTTTTCAGCTTTCTGACCCTGTGAGCTGTGAGGGGCTCTGGTTGACCCCAGCCTTAGACCTTAGCTCCCCCTCCCCGTCGATGCACTACGCATGTCGTGTACTGCTACAGCTGCTGTTGTGTGTTGTGTTGTTAATGTTGGTTCACTACTAGTAGTAGTAAGAGCGTGCATCGTCTGAGAGGCAGACTATTTTCTGCGAATGTTTTTTTTCCCAAAGGTTATTGTTATTATTTCAACCTCTCGTTCCACCACCAGGTTTCGGTGATGGAAAAGAGCGGTGAAAAAAGTCAAGGAATTGGGCTTGGAAATACGTTATGCTTTTATGCTCTTCAGCAAACGATATGCTGATTATTTCACGCGGCGAAGAAAAGAGAAAACGACTCGACGGATGACCTTCTTGCTGGCGGCATGTGAGCCGCCCCTCCCTCCCCCCACTTCCAATTGTGCATTCCTCCCGCCCCCCCCCTCCCACATACACACAAACACCCCCCTACACTCGCACCCCTTTCCGTACTCTGCCGTACAGTATCCTGCCTCTGGAAGTTATTTGCAACCGTATCCAAGCTGACGTCATGGCCACGTTGAAGGATGATGCGGACACGAAGACCGTGTTGGCCGAGGCTGGGCTGGTGAGCCTCCTGCCGGTCACCTCAGCTAATGGCAACTCGCAATACGCGTCGGCTGCCGTTGCTGCCGGGAACGGTGCTAACGGTAACGGTAATGGCAACGGCAACGGCAACGGTGCAACCAACGGCGCCTCCAACGGTAATGGCGTCGTTGTGGCGGCTCCAGCCACCATGACTGTCCAGATTTCACCGCGGTGAATGAGTCGCCTAAGGGTGCGTGTTGGGAAGGGGGTAGCGGACGTGTTTTTTTAGTCGTACGTTACCCGCCCAGCCCCTCCGGAATGGACACCACCGGGAGTTGGAAGGGGGCGAAATGTTCGTTACCTTACCGCTAGCTCGGAACATGTATTTTCATTATGATGCATTGCTGTACGGTAATGTTGCTGTACGGCAGTGATGTTATCCTGTCTGTGCGCTTATGCTGGGGACTTCCCGGGGGTGCCGAGACCCCTGTCGTACTGCGTTCTGCATGAATGCGGACGGGTAAAATAACCCACCCGTCTGTCTGTCTGTCTGTTTGGCATCCTGTCAGTTTCTGTTTGTCTGTCGGTAGGTCAGCCTGCCGGTTTGTTAGGCGCACGCAAACGTCCGTTTTGCGTTTGTTGTGCCCTGCGCTTCAACGGCGGGCGTCTGTCTGTATGTTTGCGCGTCTGTCTGTCTGTCTGTCTGTCTGCATGTATGTACGCACGTGTATGTGCGTGCTTTGGGGGTGTGCCGTCGGCACAGCGGTGTGTGTATGTGTATGTATGTGTATGTGCGACGACCTTGCGGTGGATTTAGTCTTGATGACGGTGACGGTGACGTCCATGACCACGACGGGGATGGTAGTGTACGGCACTACGAGAGATCAATTCCGAACGAGAAGACGGTGACGTGACCTGACACACACATACACACACACACAAACATCCCCCCCCCCACACACACGCACAAACGTACCTAAAAAAACGTTCAGCATGAGCACCAAGTACGGGTCGCCAGCGGTTGCACCGGTAGGCGGTTGCTGATGTGTTGCGTAGGTTGGTTAGGTGCGGGGCGAAAACACAGCCGGTGCTGCGGGGTGGCAGCGTTTTTTTGTTCTGTTCGCACAATCCCATTGCTGCATTGACCGCTCTCCCAAGGAGAGGCCACAGCCACAGCCACAACGGGGGGAGTAAAACGAGCGTCCACCACACCAGTACTACTGTGCTGTGTGCGGTGCGGTGGGGCGCTGTGGGGTGCTGTGCGGGGGACTAAAACAGCGTCTAAACCAGTACTGTCTGTGCGGTGCGGTGCGGTGGTGAGCTGTGTGTGTGGGGGGGTAGGTGGTGAGTTTCTTTTGTGAAGCCAGTTGTCAAAGAGGGTCATCAGAGGCAGGTGGTCGTCAGGTAAACAACAGTCTCACGCTGCGCGAAGGAGCTGCCGTGCGCGAGCTTATTACGTAAGTCGGCATATGTGTGATATGATATGTGATGTGATATGTGATGTGATGTGTACGGCATGGGTTGATGCATGAACTGAGGAGATGATTTATTTCCTTTGTGGAGGAGCTTTTTTTTCACACGGGGGATGAGTCGCGGGTTGGGGGGGGCCCGGGGTTGTGTGTGTGTGTATGTGTATGTGTATGTGTATGTGTGTGGTGTGGTGTGTTTAGCCCCTCTTGTATGCACGCGCGCGCGAGAGAGAGCGCTTTACTATCTTATCATGTCTTCCCGCGCTGTTTGTACGAACGTGTTTTGTACGGCAACGTGCTCGTACAGCAACATTTTTGGGGGTAAATGGTACACATACATGGCGCGGCACCTCCTGCACCAGAACCTGCCCCCCCCCCCCCGCGCTGCGGCCGCCGTGTTTTGGTTCAGAGCTGACGCGTGAATGTTCGTTATCATCACAACCAATTTTGCTGCGTTTATGCACACGCTGTCTGCTGCTGTGCGCCCGTCGGTCTGTCCGCGCCTACCCTACTAAAGGGGTAAATACCCCTACTTTAGCCCTGCGGAGCTGATTGGTGCATGAGATGCTACTACTTGCAAACCCCTGGCATCGCCTGCTGTTGATTGATCCGGGCATCGCTGCTGCCGCGGCGCGTCTCGCTTTCTGTCTGTCTGTCTGTCTGTCCGTCCGTCCGTCCGTCTGTCACAAGCTAGGTGGTGATGAATGTGCTGCCGGCGAGTGGACCGGAATATATTCACATGCGACTTATGCCGTACCATGCACGGTCGGGAGAAGAGGGGGGGTAAAAAAGTTCGCAGCCAGTGTAGCCGGCGTGCGTGGACGCCGTACTACTGCATGTCGTACTTCAGGCAGGCAGGCAGGCAGGCAAGTATCTGTGTATCATACGGGGGAGGAGCTCTCAGCTGTTGCCGCCAAGCGCAATTTTGAAATTTGCATTTTGGATCTGGATCTGGGATGAAGGTCGGAATTTTGTCGATTTGGGTTTTGCGTTGGATCGCGTCGCGAGGTTTTGTTGATGTGCTTGGGGGTAGTCCAGACTAGAAGAAAAGCAACTCCATGAAAACTAATGGACCGATGAGGATGCAACACGTTCTATGTGTCTGTCTGTCTGTGTGTGTGGGTCTGGTTGAGGTGCTCTGGGGTCACACTGCCCGGTAATTTAACTTCCCGGGGAATCGGGGCTTTGGTTGGAAGTTGTCGAGTTGTCGTACAGCTAGTGGGAGTGGTGGTGGTGGTGGTGTTGCAAGTGGTGAAGATAGACTGAGGGCTGCTGCGGATGCGTGCTGTGTACGGTAATGAATGTCGTACATGACTCTTGGGATTTCCTATAGGGCTGTCAACGTTATCTGGGGTTTGCAGTCTTGGGTTTGGGATAGAACGTAGGAGTTGTACGGTCTCGTATAGTCATGTCCTATGTTGTTTGGCTGTAATCCGATGGTCCCGTAGAGACCGGACGCGAGAAGAACACTACCGGGGGGGAGAGACGAACTGTAGGTCATGTCGTACTATATCATGTGGCGTTTTTTTTGTTTCTTTGATAGGCAAGAGAAGCGTCGCGCGCGGGATTATGTATGTGGGTTGATTCAAATCGGTGCATCATAGCCAACGGATGGCGGTTGGCTTGATTGACGGGATGGGGATTAGGTGGACGAGAGGCGATATATATAAATCGAAAAATACAATTTCACGAAAATAAATTCACCCAAACCGTTGTCAGGGTCCGGCTACGTGGCTATGACTCGGAATGTAATCCACATGTTCACAAAGCACCATGAAATGTAAAATTATAATTTTGTAAAAGAAATAAGCAGATAGGATATCTTGTCGACAATATATTTCCGTAGCCTGTACTACCGGTACGACAGATATTGTATTGGCCAATAAACCCAAAAAAATGCTGCAGGTGTGTACAAATTACACACGGAACACTAGATAGCGTCTATCATGAAGCTAATCCTGGACGTGGTGACAAGTGAACAGGTTTACAGCCTAGTAAGTGATAGCGGGTGATAGGTAATGGAGTCTTCAGCGACATGTATCGCATAAGAGCAGCCCCGCCCCACGAACATGCGCCCCAGAAGCAAAGCGCACAAAAACGCCCAACGACATGTCCTCTGTTCTCTAGACGAGACGCACTGCATCGCACTGCACTGCCGCCTCAAGCTTCGTGAAGCTTTAGTGAATCCCAAGGGCTTATCACGACCTGGAGCCTGCTGATTATGATGACTGAGTGCACTGCGGGATGCTGGGTTGGATACGCTGGGTGAGCTACAGCGGCATGAAAACGCACAGCGCGTCACGAGTATTTATGGGGGTAACAACTCCGGGCAAGTGCAGCAGCTATATAATTTCCGCCCATATCCGAGAATCCTTACAGGGCCAAAGGTGAGGGGCGTAAGGCCGGCTGGCACTGATGTCCCAGTCCCAATCTCAAGTGTGTACGGCGTTGTTTGCATCCTCGCTCATGGTTTCGCCTGCGTTAGCTGGGCGCACGTATCCACACGCTCTGCTATCGCGTGGAACTGGTAACGTAACCTGCCAGCGTACGCCACACTTAGCACGAGCCCTACTTTACCATTAGCTTGATATAAGCGAGGGCTGCCCTTGCTCCAAGTTTCGGGCTTCCTGTTTCAGTGCAAGGTAAATCAAAACGTTACCTCACGTTATTTTGGATAGGAAATACAACAGGTTATTCATTCACTCCGACGAGTTCTAGGCATCCATTTGTGCCGAGTGAAGCTGACTGGAAACCTGCAACGCCTTCCAAATAGCTTCAGCGAAAATCTGCAACAGGTATGTATGTGTTGTTTACATCGGGAAAGGATGAAACGCTGACTTTGGAAACATGGCATGTCCCGGTCGTACTTCAAAGCTTACTACGAGCGCAAAGGAAGCAATTTGTACAAAACGTAGAACATAACATATGACTTCCTGAATAGGTCCTCATGGAGGAAGCAGCCGAATCCAGCGCCGCGCCGTGCCAGCTGCCGACTCTCGACACGACGTACGAACAGTACGGCGGTCGTGATCCCGAAGCGAAAGAGCTGGCGCAGTGGATGCAGAAGCCGGACATCCGGGCAGCTGCTGTTGTGGCGAGCGGCGGCATGGGCAAGACCTGTCTGGCGGTCGACGTGGCGTGGCGGCTGTGGCGCTGCAAGCAGTGCTCCGCGGGTGTCCTGTACGTGGACTGCCGAGGGGCGTTCTCTCGCGACGCGATGGTGATGCGCCTGCGTGCGGCTGCCGGGCTGAGTGGCGAGCAGGGCGGCGTGGAGGGACTGCTGACGGCTCTGGGCAAGATGTGCTCCGCCGACCGCCTGGGGGGGTCGCTGCTGGTGGTTGTGGACAACGCGGAGGATCCGGCGGCGGCGGACGGCGGTACGGCACTGGCGGAGGTGCTGACTCAGCTGCTGCTGGCGAGCGCCAAGATCCAGTTGCTCGTCACATCACGTGTGGACGTTGCCGTACACAATATGCCGCCGCCACACACTCACCGTATTGCACCGCTCGCCCCGGCGGTGGCGGCTGGGCTGGTGCAGCAACTGGCTAAGGGTGTGCTGACGGGCGAGGAGTCCCGGACCGTGGCGGAGGCGTGTGGCTGCGTGCCGCTGGCGTTACGATTGGTTTCGGAGGCCTTGGTGGCGGGGGCCCTCCCGCTGGAGGACGTGCAAGAGGCAGTGGCAACCCGGCAAGACAGTACGGCACCAGCAGCGGACAGTGGGGGTGGCAGTACGGCAGACCGGCAGCAGAAGCAGGACATGACGGTTATGTTCGTTGAGATGGTGCTACGGTCCTTGCCTGCAGCGATGAAAGAAATTGCGATGCAAATATCGGCATTCACAGGTGTGCTGACAGCGGCGTCGACGGCTGTGGTGATGGGGGTGGTCGGCTCCTCCGAACACGAAGTTCGCGCCCAGCTGGCCAGTCTTCATCGCCTCAGTGTCGTACTGCAGCACGGCGACGATAGCTTCCTGATGCATACCCACGTCCGCGACGTAGCTCGCAAGCTGCTAGCGGAGGAAGCTCCGCCGGCATTGCGTACGGCAGTACGGGAGCGCTTCGCCCATTACGCCGCCGGCCTTCTTTCCCGCTGGCAGCGCCTTCACGAGTCCAAGGCGCTCAAGCTGATGGCTGCGGAGGTGGCTGCTCACTGGTCGGATGTGGAGCAGTTCTTGGCGGATGTTGCCGGGGAGGCGGCGGGAGGGAACAGGCCGCTGCTGGGCGCCGCCGCCCCGCCACTGCCCCTCAGCCCCCAGCTTCTGAAAGACACGGCCCTGCTCAGCACCCTCGGCAACAGCGACTCCCTTTACGCCATCGGCAACGCCTGGATGAGCGCGCAGTATCTGACGCTGACGCAGAAGCTCGTGGAGGTGACAGGGCAGCCAGCGCCTAGCCAGGAGGGTGACGCGGCAGCCGGGGAGCGGGAGCAGCGGCTATCGCACGCTGCAGCGCTGTTGGTTCGTTGCGAGGCGCTCATGTACACGGGCGAGTACGAGGAATCGGAGGGGCTGGCGGCGAGGGCAGTTGAGCTGTACGAGCAACTGCTGGGTCGCGACAGTGTGGGGTGCGCTGCGGCTCTGCACCTTCGTGCCAGCTGCCTGCAAGGGCAGGGCCGAGGTACGGATGCCGTACCGCTGTACCGCGAGTCGTTGGCGGTACGGCAGGAGGCGCTGGGCCCCACGCACCGCCACACAACCGCCACCATCACGCACCTGGCGATGCAGCTTTCCATGGAGGGGGCGCACTCGGAGGCGGAGGGGCTGTACAGGTGCGGTGTCTGTGTGTATGTGTGTATGTCTGTGTGTATGTCTGTGTGTATGTCTGTGTGTATGTCTGTGTGTATGTCTGTGTGTATGTCTGTGTGTATATCTGTGTGTGTTGGGACGGGGGAATGTAAAGTGGGGCCCCAAAGTGTGTTCATGTTGTTGATTCCTGGTTTCTGTGTACAGCCCCTGTGCCTATCTCCTGCTACTGCTATTGCGACTGCTACTGCTGCTGCTGCCGCCCCTGCTTGTGGTCTTTTACTGCTGTCCATTGACACCGACGGCCCCCTACCCCGGCCCCTGCCCCTGCTCCTAAACAGGCAAGTCCTCGAGGCGCATCAACGCAACCTGGGCTCCTCCCACAACCTGACCGCCCAGGCCCTCTCCAACCTGGCGGGCTGTCTGCACGAGCTCGGCAAGCTGGCGGAGGCGGAGGCCATGTACCGCAAGGCCCTGAACGTGTACGGCGATACGGTGGGCCCGCGGCACCGCCAGGTGGCGTTCACGCTGGTGGGCTTGGCGGCGGTTGTACGGGAGGGCGGCGACCTAGAGGCCGCTGAGGAGCTGTACCGGCAGGCCCTGGACGTGTGTCGTACGGCGCTGGGTTCCCGTCACCCGCACTCCCAAATGACGCTGGTTGCGCTGCGGGAGCTGCTGACGGAGCGGGGCAAGGACCAGGAGGCGGAGGCGCTGGAGCTGTAGCATGCATGCATGAATGCGTGTGAAGGTGGAGAGAACTGCCGTTTTGGGGGGTGCTGTGAGAGGAGGAGAAGGAGGTGATGCTGCATGAGTGAGCTGGGGCAGAGGGTTGCAAAGATGGGAGATGGGGGGCAGGTACTGGTCAGGCGGGATGGGGAATAGGGGTGACGACGTCAGGATGGGATGTGGGGCCCAAGGGATTGGGGATTAGGCATGCTACACTACTTTTGGGATGGGGATTGCTGTCGGGGGTGAGGATGGGGATGGGATCCCTGTCTGAGGGATGGGGATTGCAACCTTGACCAAGGAGGGGATTGGGAACCCTGGTCAAGGATGGGGATGGGACCCTGGTCGACAGGATGGGGATTGCAGGCTTTCGCAAGTTTAGGATGAGCTCGCTGCCATAGGATTGAGAACACAGTTGGAGGATTAGGATTGGGTGTTCTGCTGTAAAATGAGGCTGCAGGTGCAGAATTGGGAATACTGACAGGACTGCAAAACAGGCCAAGGATGGATGGTTTAGTTGTCAATAGTTGCTTACATGGTGTGCTGTCACTTGTGGTGCATCTTACAGCGTCTGGTGAAAGTGTTAAAGTGGTGGTCAAAGCCAGTACCAAACATGCACGTTGTCGTGGTCGATTTTGCTCGCACTTCAACTCATGGGTCAGTCAGCAATATGGTAAACCAAACACCGAGAGATATCTTCACAAAGCAAGGCACCCCTGCCCAACAGCACCATAATCAGCTGTCCAGGATAGCCCATGTCCATGTTCACCAGCACCACAACGGGCCTCCCATCCCCCACTTGACACACATGAGCACATCTCACCAAAAGCGGCCCCTGCAAGCTGCACCACTGCTGTCTGCCAAAAGCATGGAACTTCCTTGTGTTTGAGTGTTTGGTTTGCTATGGGACGCGACTTATAAGCAGAACTTCCTTGTGTTTGAGTATGGTTTGCTATGGGACGCGACTTGCAAGCAGAGGTCAAACAATTGAATGCATGACAGCCTGGTGAGATGGCTGATGTTGGTGCATAGCGTCCCATAGCAAACCAAACTCAAACACAAGGAAGTTCTGCTTATAAGTCGCGTCCCACAGCAAACCAAACTCAAACACAAGGAAGTTCTATGAGTTGCCAGCACTGAATCTAGGCTGGGGAGTCTAACAACAGAGTCGTCCATGCATTTCTTGCTTCACACCAAATGCCAGCGCTGGCACTCATTGCAAACAACAACAACAACAAATAGGGCTTTACTAATTTAATTCATGCAGGGTTACTGCCCTCCTCGCCCCCTACCGTGGGAGGACAGGCCTGACATGTGGCCACGAGTTCATGCCTGGCACGCTCCCAATGCGACTAAACAAGGTGGCAAACCTTTCAACGGCAGGGCCCATATAGACAATGACACTGCCGTGTGGATTCTGCGCACGGGCTCCCCATTGAAGCTCATCACTAGTGCCCACCTGCCGGACGAACGAAAGGTGCTCCCGGAGAAAGCACACTGGCCAGTTCAGCACATCATTGAACCAGCTGTAGCCAATACCTGCCTTCAATATTAATAGCACCACGGCCTGCCTCACATTCCCCGCCTGATACTCCCGCATGCATCTTCCAAAAAATAGCCCTTGGAGGCTCTGCCCTCTCCGTACACCAAAAGCAGGGTTTCCTCGCCATGCACTGCCCTCTGCCAGTCCATCCGTCGCCTCATCGTAAAAGGAAGTGGCCCGGACCCGCGTGTTTGCAGCGGCACAAGAACACGGGTCAAGATCAATGCAGCCTGGTGTGAACAGCTCACGCACCAGGTCCAAGATGAAATCTGGTGTGTACCATTCACATGTATCACTTTGCATGAACACACGCAGGCCGCCATATTGCAGCGACAGTGCATCCTCATGCCTCGTATCACCATCTGCAGCCATGCCTGTGGCATCAGATGGTGTGGCTACAACAGCTGAACCCGCTAAGACATCATCAGCCAGAGACCCCTTGACCTCCCTCAGACATTCACGTACTAGTCGGCCACTGACACGTGCACTTTCCAGTCCACCAGCCCGTCCTAGTGCCAGCACCCATGCCTTCAGCTGGACATCAGGATGACAGCCCACAAATGGCCGCACCTGCATCTGATTGCTTGGGCGGGCTACACCTGCTGGGAGGTTTCGTATGACACGTGCCGCTGCAATCAGGTTCCTGGCCTGGTGCAAGCCAAACCCAAGCACTGCCAAAGATCTCCTTATGTATGCTTTAAAACTGGCATGCCCCGCGAAGCTGTACAGCTTCCCCTCGGCGATATCTAACAGTGCTAGACTTGCCTCTGCAAAAAAACCCAGAGCAGCCATGGGCACACGTCGCTCAGCAGAAGCCAAGGCGTTGCCTTCTCCTGTACCAGCTCTGCCCAAGGAAGCCCTGCAACCCGCAGTGCAAGACAGCCAGCATCCCCTTTTCATTACATCCCAGAGTGGTATCATGCCAAGGGGATGATTGCGTGCACATGACAGCATTCTTGGCATGTTAGGTGCGCACTGTCAACTCAAAACGATCACGAGCTGCTGGGGGCGGCCATGCATGATGGCCTTTGAGCAAGTCGTTTTGCAGAAGCAACAAGTGATAATCTTGTGCTTCTTATGGCACTTGGGGCAGCACACCCACCGTTCAGGAACCCCATCTTTGCAAACAGAGTGTGCACCCGGCTCCTTCTCTTCCTCCTCCTCCATGCCCTCAGACTCTGAGTCGATGGCCACCTCATTGCCGTCCCCTGTGCCGTGCCCACTGCTGACAGCCCTGCAATGGCCATGTCGGCTTGCAGCTGGGGTGCCGTGGTATTAGGCCGTTCAGCTGCAGCTGCAGCACGTGGCTGAAGTGGTTCTTACCGCCAGCCACGATCTTCACTGACGCCAAGTCCACCAAGCCTTCTTCAGTCAATGCTTCGGCGATGGCGGCATCGGTCAACTGCCCGATGGGGTCCATCCCAAGCGTTTCCACGAGGACTTCGGCCAGGTCCTTGGCGAAGCCAAACTCCGCCAATTTTGCCAGCTTTTGACGCTTCTGCAGAAGGTTAACACCATTGGGCATAGAACAGGCATGGAACGCGACTTGGTGTAAATGTGAGAAGAGTGCACTATTGGTGCACCCGGCCAGTTCTTCAGTCAGACGCAGTCCAACCCCGTTCTTATCTTGTCCGGCCCATGCACATCCACACCATCGGGTGCCATTCTGGAAGAGATAACAAACGGTCGTCGGGCTGTTACTAGCTTGCGCTTAACAAGGCGGGCGTCTTCCAAGACGAAGTTTGGGACACTTTGAATAAGACCCAAACGCCAGTGTGTAATCTGCAGACCCTACTTGTAACAAAGCTCTTGGCGCAGCTGATAGCGCTCATGGTTGGCCTCCGCCGACTGGGTGCGCATGGTATTCCGTGGGCTCGCCATGTAAGTCAGATAGGAAATGTTTCTAAAGTTAGAATGTGTTTGCGGAAGCGATGGAGTGCTTGACTCCGAGGTCGTTTGACCGGATGGTCTAAGATACCAGATTTGTAACAAAGCTCGGCAGTTGGCGAAGCGGTTACGAAGAGAATTACCCAACGATAAAAGGTGGTATTGATAAATACCGTGTGGTATTGGAAAGATTATTAATAGTTCTTGGATGTACCGTTGGTACGATGACCGTTGGCCCGGTGAGCCGAGGGCCGCCTTAGCGGCGTTACACTACTGGGGGTTAACATGCTGGCCGCATCATGCCGTACCGCATTCCCAAGCCAGTATGCACAATTCTGAGAAAGTTTGCAGTCTTCATTGTTTTGTTGTGGCACAAGTCCACGTAACTCTGCACATGCGACAAAATGTCTTAGTGCATAGGAGCAATTCTTGCGCAGAAGTCCAAGTCGACTCAAAAGCATTCCAATTGGAATGCTGGCTTAATGTAATGTTATCAGGTTGTTTGTCGTAGCGCTTTGGCGCACACAACGTGGAATGTTGGCGCCGGACTGTGCAGCTGAACTCCTGTGCTATGGGTAGGGTTGTGCCGACCATTAGAAATATAATTCTAACGTAGAATAATTCTAATGAGAAATCACCCTATAAATGAGAAGGGCCTGCTTCTGGGATTAGAATGAGAAAGCTGTATGACAGCCTGGATCCTGCATTAGAATCGCCAGAAATAGAGGCTTGTGCATTATAATACTCGCATATTAGTACCTTACCTATAGATCTTACTCCGGGTCAGCTATGGCAGATCAAGCGGACAAGCCTGACACAAAGCAACCTGACCATCAGCCCGACAACATTGAAGTTTGCAAGTATGGTGACAAGAATTTAGACGCCCCTGCCTACGCTAATGTTCTCAAAGAAGCTAAGGCAAAGCAGCGCGCGTCGTGGTGGGTTCGTTTCAACGTCCTGCTGACAACTGGCGCTGTGTGGCTCCAATGCGTCCGCTGCAACAAGATCCTTAGCGCTAAGAATCCGTCACAAGTTTGCTCTCAGCACGTCAGAGCATGCTATAAGAAGCTGATGGAGGCGGCTGCAGGAGGCTCCAGAATGCCTCCCTCGCCCAGCCCGCAGCCTGGGCCTTCCACCACCCCCTCCGCCGCTCCCCCTGCTGCTCCCTCCAACGATCCGTCCGCCGGCCTGTCCGCTGGCCCCTCCGCTCCTCCCGGCCCCTTTGCCGGCCCCGCCGCCGACCCCTCCACCGCCACCCCTTCCACTCCCCTCGATGCCTCTGTCAAGAAGCGCCCTCGCACCGACGGTTCAGACGTTCGCAGCTTCTACCCCTCTTCTGTTGCCATCGCTCGGTTCCTCTGGAATCTTGCTCTTTTTTCCTTCAAGTGCAACATAGCTCTCTCATAGCCTCCGTTCGGGCCTGAGGGCCGTTGCGTACCCCTGAGTACTTGGGACTCTCGTTCTATTGAGATTCCTGACGCAGATTGTTGGGTTTGAATTTAGCGTACTGGTGTCTGTATCCGTCTGGCAACTGGCTGGAAGTAACAACACTTGGCAAGGTTGGCTTCGCATTCTAAGGGGGGTATATATTGTTGTTGTTGTTACATGGTCGTGGGTGCGTTCCCCGTACCTGCAAACCACCCTAGTACGAGCCGAGGGCTCAAGGGCTGCCAAATCGCCTATAAGCACCATCCTACCTCGCACTTCCAACGAAACAAGTAATGAAGTATACTAACGACCAAAGGGAACGATAGAGTTGCGGTGAGACCATATACGTTCCAGCATTCTTGCCAGGCGTCCAGGTTCCCACTTCATAGCGTCCTTCATATGTTCGAAGCGTGGAAAGCCCATATCAGATCTGATTCCGTCGTAAACCGGACAGTCCAGCAAATGGCCAAGAGGTACACCCATCTGGGTTACGACCCCCGCCATCGACTTTCGGCATAAAAAAATTGGAAACGCCATGAGCCGCCATGCCCACAAATTTTCAGTTAATTCTTCGTGCTGGGTGAAAAGATAGCAAAGTAATTCTCATTCTCATATTCTAATTTACTTCTAATTAGAATTGATATGAGAAGGATTTTTGGGCGGGGCCCCAGCGCGAAGCGCCCAGGGGGGTCCCGACCTGTAGGATTGCCCATGTCCGTGTGTGTGTGTGTGTGTGTGTGTGTGTGTGTGTGTGTGTGTGTGTGTGTGTGTGTGTGTGTGTGTGTGTGTGTGTGTGTGTGTGTGTGTCTGTAACGGACCAAACATAATATCTCGCCCGGCTGAAACGCGTTATAGGTACTATACAGCATTCTCTATTGCAAGGTATCTCGCATGTAGCCAACAAAAATCGTATGAGCACAAACAAGTTTGGCTGCCTCAATTGACCGAGGCCAAAGTCACATCAACGCCTCTCGCGCTAAATTTCATCCCGAAAGGTACCGCGTATCGCGTATTTGAATTCTTAGATGACGGCGTATGATAGCTCGAACTCCCGGGCCTTGAGTGTGTAACGGACCATACATAATATTTCACCCGGCTGAAACGCGTTATCGGTACTATACAGCATTCTCTATTGCAAGGTATCTCGCATGTAGCTAACAAAGACCGTATGAGCACAAACAAGTTTAGCTGCCTCCATTCACCGACCTCAAAAGTCACATCAACGCCTCTCGGGCTACATTTAATCTCAAAAGGTACCGCGTATCTCATAATTGAATTCTGAGATGACAGCGTATGATAATTTGAACACCCAGCTTGTGTTACCATTTGCCCGCACGGGCATTCCGAATTGCCACCGGCAGGCCGACAAATTTGCTTACATTTCTCTATGAAATACGCAAGCTGCTCATTTGTACATTTACTTTAGCCAATGCTCGGGGCCTCCGGAGACTTGCGGTGTGCCCCGATGAAGCCCGCGGCTGTGGGGCGGATTGCTGAGGCCGCTGGCTCTTCGGGGATAAACATCACAGACAGAACCGAACTTCACCCAGCTTGCGTTACCAATTTGCCCGCATGGGCATTCCGACTTGCCGTCTGCCGCACTGTCCATGCGGCATGCACCCGGGATGGATGCGATTCGCGTGGAGCCCGCAGGCGGTGCTGACGATTCCGCCGGTGCAAGCTTAGCTCCCACACCATCAGTACTGCTGCAACAAAGCACATCTCCCACCGCGTTGACACTACCCATCAATTGTCACACGTGCCGCGCTAGCTACCGGCCTGTACGGATGCAGGGGGGGCCCGCCCTTTTTCCGGCTTCAAGGAAGCCGACACCCGACTTGTCCTTCTAAGGTTAAGAACAACGCTATAGCTATGGGTGAACCAATGGTGCACCCATTCCTTCGTCATCATCAGCACGTTCCCAGCCATGGACATTTTGACAGAACACCCTTGTATGTTCTGCCATTCTAACCACAGCATTAAAATTTGTTGTTGTGGCCATCCATCGAACATAACAATCCTTCCTCCGTTAGGACGCGCTATTTGCACTAGCAGCCAATGTGCAAATAGATGCGTAGACCTCTGTGCTGCGAGTTCTTCCTCGGTCGAGATCCGCTTCAACGAGCGTTTGTCGCTTCAGTCTGCTTCGGAACGAACACAGCCGGGCTCTCCCCGGGCGATCGGGGCAGCCCTTGGGTCACTCAATTACATCACAGGTCAAACCACCGACGGCGATCGGACGGTGTCTTTCCTGGAAGCCTCGACAGCTCGCAGCTCCTTCATCAGAGACTTGCTGCTCTGTCCCGGTGTCCGAGGTCGGTCCTGCGTATGGACACCTTTACGGCTGCGCACCGCAAGGTGTCCTTCACTCCTCAGATATCGCAGATGCCTGTCGTGGAGACGCCTGCTTGCATAGTCAATGTGGTGAACTTGAGGTACGGAGGGGAGGGGAGGGGAGGGGAGGGGAGGGGAGTGCCTTGGCTGCGGTTCCATCAGGCACACAAGGCCTAATGTGTCCATAAGGTCTGAGAGGTTAACGGTGCACGCCCAACACAGGATATGGTGGCACGGGGGGCCAAGCTTCCTGCTTTTGTGGGTGAGCAACACTGCCTTCGTGCGGTGCTGTGCTCTGTGGCTGCCAGGCCAGTTGGGAAGCCGTGCCCTGCGTGCGCTGAGCTGTTAAAGCATGATGTGCACCAGCTTAAGCGCAGGGGCACGCGTGCAGCATTCCGCTATGAGAAAGCCGCACGGAACATTATTCCAGCATCCAGCGACATGTGAGCATCTGGGAGCTCGGCCACTTGGAGCTTGTTGCACATCTTGAAGCCACGCTATCGGAGCTGGAAGTGTGCCAAAGTCAAAATGTCAAGCTCACGCGCGACATGGACCAGCTTACCGTGAAGATGCTCGGCTGTGAGGATGAGCTGCGAGAGCAAGCCAAACAGGGGGGGGGGCAGGAGCTGACTGCTCTTCTTGAGAAGGCTTACACGACAGGTGAGACGGATGGGGACGGACTAGAAAATGGATGGGGAACCGTGTGTTTAAGAAAACACTGCATTAGAGTCCTCAAATGCTTTGTGTCCTCGATGTTACTAAGGGTTTAGGGGTTTTGCATCAATGGTGCAAGTTAGGTCCTAGATGTTGCTGCCCGTGTCACTCTAATCCTGCCCATGTGATAATCGGACTTGGTGGCGCCTGGTGGTAGGTGCGGCTCACGACTTCAAGTTGGAGTTGGCTCAGCACTCGAGCAGCTCCTGCTGGGCATTGCAAAGAGCATCCACACAGCACGGCGGCGCTTCAGCTCAACGGAGGTGCGGAGGTAGAATTCTACACCACGCTACTGAACCTTGGCGGTCCGCTGGTGTGTTCAAATTCGTGTCAGACAACCTGAATGGACCCTGTCTGCGCACGGTTCGAGGAGCACGCGCCAGCTCAGCCTACTTCCGACTTGACTCGGTCCATGAAAATGTACAGCAAGTAAGTGCTTGGAATGATATCTCTTAGTAACCTTACTGTGCAAGGTACAACTTCCACACAATTGCAGGGGTGTCCGTAAAAGCCTAGGGGGGGCCCATAGATGAAGAATCAGTATTGATGCAGGTTTGCAGAGGACAGGCGTTGTCCTCCCTCGTCCACTTCAGGGTGTTTCCGATTTGTAAGAGGAACCTGCGTGAGGGTTATACACAGGGGCTGGAGGTTTTCAGCAAGTACAACACCAGCAAGATACCTATCCTGATATGTGAGGATGCCAGTGCAGCCACGCCACGGCTTGACGTAGCACACCGTGACGGGAGATACTTTGTCTACCAGGGTGTCACCAAACGAAAAATGTAAACGTAAACGAAACGAAACGAGCGTCTCGTTCGTTGAGAGGCTGCTAAACGATGCCGTACTGAAACGCTAAACGATTGCTTACATTCGTTTGGGATGACCGGCGCTAAGCCTTTGACCATGGACATCCTTGTTGACCCGCTCGCCTCGCCTCAAACACGCACGCCAGTTTGCAACTATGCTTCATGCTGTTATCACGGATACGTAATATCTCTTGCACTTGCCGGAACCTCGCTCCGACAGGCCGAGGATGTGTCCCCGAATCCTAATTGCGCTCCCAAAGAACTTATGATGGCACATAATACACTCCAGGTGCTTATTGGCTTTGCTTGCGTCCAAGACCTTCACATACTCGAACTCCGGTCCCAAATAACGCTGATTGCTGGGCCCAGCCCCCGACATGGATACTGCCTAACGCCCTCAGACACCACTGGAAATGATAGAGCTATGTGTAAAAACATCAAAACCATCAAGATATTAACGGTTAGCGTACGTTTCCGTACCATCGTTTAGAGGGTCGTTTAGGGGTCGTTTTGACGAAAATCCGTTCGTTTACGTTTTAAACGCGTTTAAACGACCGGCTATGTTCGTTTGGTGACACCCTGTTGTCTACGGCATGTGTGGTGGTGTGGTGGAGGTCAAGTCGGTTGAGCAGCTGCAGGATGAGCTGCTGAAGCGTGGGCTCGCCAAGTCACTTTACGTGCATGTTATGGTTCCCACGGCGCCCCACGCGGGCTTCTTGCCTGCTCTGTGCACGGCATCTGACAACACCGATGGCTCAGTTGAGCTTTTGCGGAAAATGATGGAGGTGGACGAGGCTTTGCATGGAGCTGGTGGTGTGGCCATGGGCCATTGTGGCGACGGTGCGGCAGCATACAGGTAAAGGGTGTGGCAATCATGCAAAGGGCATACGATCATCCACCACACTTCAAGAAACAGGCTTTGTGGGCTTTTGTGGTGTGCAAGCTTAGGTTCTTGATGGGCCGTTAATGGAGTGCCGCATGTTGCTTAGCTCACGTGTCAACGGTCGGTTCTGGACTACTTCGGAGGAGTTCAGGGACGCCCTGAGCATGCTGACCGGTGCAGACCAAGACCACTTATCCGATGGCGACTGTGTCGCGGTCTTGGAGGCCGACAGGGGACGCACCGTTGTCCACATGCGGGGTTTGTGGAGCGGTTATTGGCACCACAGGGCCACAACAAGGCCAAGCAGGCGCTCCGGCGCATCCGCCGGTTGGATATCAATGACCCGAATGGACGTGTGTGCCTGCGGCTACTCTCTGCAGCAGACAAGGGTACGCTGGCGGGCAAGGTGCTTTGGTGTCATGGGGTTTGCAGCCTGCGTTGGGCTCCATCTAACAATGTTGATTGCCTGCGGTATATTGGCGATTTGCAGCAAGGTGATCCTCTGCCTTGCTAACCTGCCCCAGATTCACGGTCACGGGTTTACTTACAACGGCTTGTATGAAGATAATAAACCCCTCAGAATGAAGGACATTTCGTAGGAGAGATGCTTGCCACGTTCTGTCACAAGCCATGGCGATTTCATGTTCTGTTCCATCTTTTGCCGTTCCTCTTCTGGTCCACCATGCAGACGAGAACGGGCGGTTGAAGTGCCTGATGCCTCACGCCCTTACACATTCAGCCAATGCGCTATGGGAGACCAACAACATCGTGCCGTCGGTATACATGCTGCCAGGGCGAGATGACCCCTCTGGGGGACAGTACATCATGCATGAGGATGATAAGGTATGCTGAAGTATACAGCATATCGCTTCACATAAGTAAGGTGCCGTATATTGCACGCTTTCTCCTGGGCCTCTCCTGGATTTGTTTTGCTCATAAAGAGGACGGGTCAAGGTGCCTGTTGGGTGTCTTGGGTGCAATAGCTGCAGTGCACCATCATGACAGTGAGGCATACTCGGCCTTGGACATACTTGGCTTTGTTTGTATTCCCCCTACACACTCGCCCACCTGCGCAGCCCTGCGGGACTACTGCGAGACACACAAGTTCGTTTTGGACGAGAAGGGTGCTGGTTGGAGAGGGAACCGGGCTGTGCAGGCTCCGATTCAGGCGTCCTTGGCACCGGGGGGGCTCATGTCCACACCTAAACCAGGGCAGCCTCGCCAACGCAAGCTCGAGTTGCGTGTTGACTCTGCTGCCCGTGGAGATGTTGCCGCGGCGCTGGGTCAGCAGACTAAGTCTGGTCGCAAAGTACAGCCTACCCTACCAGGAGGGCACTTGGTGAGGATTGAAACCCTCTCACCTGGGACCAACTCTGCAGAGTCACCCGCAGAGTTGGTCCCAGGGGAAAGTTTAATTCCTGTCCAAGTGCCCTCCTGGTAGGCTGTACTTTGCGACCAGACTTACTCTTCTGACCGCCTACTGTGACAAACTCTGCTTGCGACTCTGCAACATAGACTGGGCAGAGAGGGGTACCTGTTGTACGTACGAATACGAATGGTCTGTTTAATGCATGATCACATCAATTTTGCTATCGTGCATGATTAAGGCCCAGCATGCGTTTGACCATACTGTAAGGGTACACGTGTCCCAATTTGGTTCTTGGTGCCTCCTGCTGGTACTTGGTTCTTGGCAAGCCAAGTAACACTGTCTCTGCAGTGCGTGTGAGCAAGTTTGCACACACTGACCATACTAACATATGCGTCTGGTGGAATATGGGTGGTGGCCTACTGTTGGGGACGGCCCAGAAACTCGCTATAGAGCTGTAATTTGAGAGGTTAAGCTTAGCTGCCGTACAGTGGTGTGGAAGTGCCGTATTGAAGTGCCGCACAGTGTTGTGCATCTGTGCAACCCTCCTGCGAACTTTTACGGGTGTCCTATGTGTAATGTAATGTACAGGAGTCCATTTTTCATACTTCATGGCCAGCCCAGCCTGGCTAAGAGTTACACCCGACTCAAACAGGATGAGACACAATACAGGATTAAGTTAACAGCGACTGTGTGTACGTGAGGATTAGTTTTGCAGCTGGCATCTCAGGATGAGGATTGTGACACCAGCTCAGGGGATAGGGATGGGACCCTGGCTGACAGCTTTCGGTTGTGGACACAGCTGGGGATGGGGATGGCCGTGGTCGAAGGGATTGGGAAGGGACCCTGGCTGGCAGGATGAGGATTGGGGGAACACAGCTGCAGGATGGGATTGGAAACCCTGGCCGTAGGATTGGGGATGGGACCCTGGCTGGCAGGATGGGAAACCTGTCTCAAGGGATGGGATTAACACCGGCCCTTAAGATGGGAGATGGGAGTCGGTCACCCCAGCCAGGATGGGAGGATGGCTGACCACTACCACCCCCCGGGATTGGGGGATTAGATCGTTTTTGCAACCCTCTGGCTGGGGAAATATAGGAATGACAGGAAACTTGCATCGTGACTCTCGTTCATAAGTACATGAGTTCGTTAGCGGTTGGGTATTAACCATTTATTATGCATTGTGGTTTTCTATTAAGTCTTATAATGCAGGGTAAAAATTATTGGAAAAGTATCTAGTCTGGTGGCGCCTTTGAGTATATGAAGGCTCCGGGTTCGATTCCTGGTCAAGACCCCGACAGTATTCGGGAAGACCAGAATTACTAATGCTGTTGAGGTGAGATGAGGTCTAGTTGCTGGACTAAGTTTCGCATGCTGAGATGGTGGTGATGGCTGATCTGTCTCTACAGACGTTGGGTGACTGGATGAGGAGGGGTCTAGTTGGCAGGACCCAAACCGCCGTCGGGAATCAATTTACAGTGTATATAGTCCATGGCCTCTCGGCTTTGACGGAATCCCCCCCACTCGTGCTGCACTTGTAACTTGTAATATGATCTGGCATTTATATTGTGCAGGATAACGACCATGCGTTTATTACGTTGTTAGTTTGTTATTTTGGCTTGATGGCTGAAAGAAAATGTTACACCACCTCAACGGCAATGAAAGCTGGTGCCAAACAGAAAGCTGGTTCAGGCACTACTGGTGGAGCATGCAGCAATGCCCCCGTGAGATCCCGGGATCGAGACCTGTCAAGGTCGAAATCCTTCCGAAGGTGGAAGGTATTGCGTCCCTAGTTGATGGACAGTGGAGACCTGGGATAAAGTTAACTTCCGAGATGACCAGGAATGGAGTTGGGCCGCTGTCGACCCGGCAGATTCCATTGGATGCTGGTGGTGGGTGCGGAATCTGAGCGATCCACTGAGAAGTTGACGAGGGTAACTAGACGAGGGTGCCCCGAAATACCGGGGAAGGCAGGGTTTCGCAGGGTAGCGGCCACGGGTGAAGATATAACCCCCTGTTCCTCACATCAGAAAAAAACATACTTCGTAATAGCTGGAGGCGAGCTCTCTGTCATGGAAAAGCGTGGGATGCCGTACTGAAGGTCGTACAAGGCCAGCAGGAGAGCTGCAGGGCGGGGTGCCGTTCGAGTGTTACAGTACCACTAAGTCTGCCGCCTCAGCGCTCGAGAACAGGAAATGCGGAGGGGTCGTGTTTTAATGAAGGGAAGATAAAGAGGGAAAGCAACCACCTGCACGCTGCACCACGCAGCATCACCTCCTCATCATCATCTCACAGCACCCCCCAAAAAGGCAGTTCTCTCCACCTTCACACGCATTCATGCATGCATGCTACAGCTCCAGAGCCTCCGCTTCCTGGTCCTTGCCCCGCTCCGTCAGCAGCTCCCGCAGCGCAACCAGCGTCATTTGGGAGTGCGGGTGACGGGGACCCAGCGCCGTACGACACACGTCCAGGGCCTGCCGGTACAGCTCCTCAGCGGCCTCTAGGTCGCCGCCCTCCCGTACAACCGCCGCCAAGCCCACCAGCGTGAACGCCACCTGGCGGTGCCGCGGGCCCACCGTATCGCCGTACACGTTCAGGGCCTTGCGGTACATGGCCTCCGCCTCCGCCAGCTTGCCGAGCTCATGCAGACAGCCCGCCAGGTTGGAGAGGGCCTGGGCGGTCAGGTTGTGGGAGGAGCCCAGGTTGCGTTGATGCGCCTCGAGGACTTGCCTGTTTAGGAGCAGGGGCAGGGGCAGGTGGTCGTCGGTGTCAATGGACAGCAGTAAAAAACCACAAGCAGGGGCGGCAGCAGCAGCAATAGCAGCCGCAATAGCAGTAGCAGGAGATAGGCACAGGGGCTGTACACAGAAACCAGGAATCAACAACATGAACACACTTTGGGGCCCCACTTTACATTCCCCCGTCCCAACACACACAGACAGACACACAGACACACAGACAGACACACAGACAGACACACAGACATACACACAGACATACACACAGACACCGCACCTGTACAGCCCCTCCGCCTCCGAGTGCGCCCCCTCCATCGAAAGCTGCATCGCCAGGTGCGTGATGGTGGCGGTTGTGTGGCGGTGCGTGGGGCCTAGCGCCTCCTGCCGTACCGCCAACGACTCGCGGTACAGCGGTACTGCATCCGTACCCCGGCCCTGCCCTTGCAGGCAGCTGGCACGAAGGTGCAGAGCCGCAGCGCACCCCACACTGTCGCGACCCAGCAATTGATCGTACAGCTCTACCGCCCTCGCCGCCAGCCCCTCCGATTCCTCGTACTCGCCCGTGTACATGAGCGCCTCGCAACGAACCAACAGCGCTGCAGCGTGCGATAGCCGCTGCTCCCGCTCCCCGGCTGCCGCGTCACCCTCCTGGCTAGGCGCTGGCTGCCCTGTCACCTCCACGAGCTTCTGCGTCAGCGTCAGATACTGCGCGCTCATCCAGGCGTTGCCGATGGCGTAAAGGAAGTCGCTGTTGCCGAGGGTGCTGAGCAGGGCCGTGTCTTTCAGAAGCTGGGGGCTGAGGGGCAGTGGCGGGGCGGCGGCGCCCAGCAGCGGCCTGTTCCCTCCCGCCGCCTCCCCGGCAACATCCGCCAAGAACTGCTCCACATCCGACCAGTGAGCAGCCACCTCCGCAGCCATCAGCTTGAGCGCCTTGGACTCGTGAAGGCGCTGCCAGCGGGAAAGAAGGCCGGCGGCGTAACGGGCGAAGCGCTCCCGTACTGCCGTACGCAATGCCGGAGGAGCTTCCTCCGCTAGCAGCTTGCGAGCTACGTCGCGGACGTGGGTATGCATCAGGAAGCTATCGTCGCCGTGCTGCAGTACGACACTGAGGCGATGAAGACTGGCCAGCTGGGCGCGGACCTCGTGCTCGGAGGAGCCGACCACCCCCATCACCACAGCCGTCGACGCCGCAGTCAGCACACCCTTAAAGGCCGACACCTGCATTACCACTTTTTTCATCGCTGCCGGCAAGGACCGCAGCACCATCTCAACGAACATAACCGTCATGTCCTGCTTCTGCTGCCGGTCTGCCGTACTGCCACCCGCACTGTCCGCTGCTGGTGCCGTACTGTCTTGCCGGGTTGCCACTGCCTCTTGCACGTCCTCCAGCGTGAGGCGCCCCGCCACCAAGGCCTCCGAAACCAATCGTAACGCCAGCGGCACGCAGCCACACGCCTCCGCCACGGTCCGGGACTCCTCGCCCGTCAGCACACCCTTGGCCAGTTGCTGCACCAGCCCAGCCGCCACCGCCGGGGCGAGCGGTGCAATACGGTGCGTGTGTGGCGGCGGCATGTTGTGTACGGCAACGTCCACACGTGATGTGACGAGCAACTGAATCTTTGCGCTCGCCAGAAGCAGCTGAGTCAGCACTTCCGCCAGTGCCGTACCGCCGTCCGCCGCCGCCGGATCCTCCGCGTTGTCCACAACCACCAGCAGCGACCCCCCCAGGCGGTCGGCGGAGCACATCTTGCCCAGAGCCGTCAGCAGTCCCTCCACGCCGCCCTGCTCGCCACTCAGCCCGGCAGCCGCACGCAGGCGCATCACCATCGCGTCGCGAGAGAACGCCCCTCGGCAGTCCACGTACAGGACACCCGCGGAGCACTGCTTGCAGCGCCACAGCCGCCACGCCACGTCGACCGCCAGACAGGTCTTGCCCATGCCGCCGCTCGCCACAACAGCAGCTACCCGGCTGTCCGGCTTCTGCATCCACTGCGCCAGCTCTTTCGCTTCGGGATCACGGCCGCCGTACTGTTCGTACGTCGTGTCGAGAGTCGGCAGCTGGCACGGCGCGGCGCTGGATTCGGCTGCTTCCTCCATGATGCTCTGTACGAAATGTACAAAATGTACGAAATGTACGAAATGTTGTACGAGAACATGTCAGGTGTACGGTACGGATACGACAAAAGCACGGGAGGTACGACAGCGACAGCCGCTTTCAGCCACAACCCATTGACAGCAACCATACAGACATCAAAAAGAACCGGGTAGAACGCCGCAGAAGCTAAGTCAACGAAGGCAGCTAAGACAATTAGCACAGGAAAACTCTCTCCTCCCCTCCACTCAGGAACATTAGACACAATACGTTCTTTTTGCGAAGGTTGTCACACACCATTTTGGGTTATTCATAACGCTTCACTATTTATTTCTTTTTTGCAATCGTGGACACCACAACTTAGGGTTTCCCTCCACACATGGGTTTTGAAATTTAACCAACCAACCAACCAACCAACCAATTAACCAACTCCGTAATCAACCAACCAACCAACCAACCAACCTTGATGCACGCCACGATGTCCGGTTTTTCCGGCACCCGTCGAAGCTCAAACACGGAGAGTGTGGATGGATCTTCGTAGTCCTCCACCTGACCCTTGAACATGGAATGTGCCGCAGCGCTGTTCAACAGGGTCGCAAGATCAGAGACCTGTACGGCAGGTACCGGCACGTCGGACAAACGTTCCGGGAAAACCATCCAAAACTCGTGCCAGGGGACTCGTAACTCAAATTTGATGACCTTGCGCCAGAAGACCCGGAGCACTGAATTGCGGATGTTGGAATGAGGGCCCTCCTCGTTGTTGGCGTTGAGGATTTCGATGGCCTGCCCCAACTGCAGAAGGGGGGTGTCAAGGGGTACAGGAGGGAATGCGGCGTCAAGGCGGGTTTTTGACCAGGGAGTTGTGTTGAAGGAGAGCTTGTTTGGTTTAGGAGTTTTGTATCAGGGCAGGGCCAGGAGCAGGGAAGCCGATTTCTGTCATGTCGCTCTGGCAGGTCTCATACATTTCCCTTTTGTCATGTCGTGTCGTGCGAAGCCGTCTAAGGTAACGCTCTAAAAAGCGTAAAGTTCTTATGCATTTTGCCGTAGCGTTGTTGTCGTACCATTGTCAGCGTGAGCTGGCTGCCCACTCCCAAATGCTGCCGTACTTGTTCCATCTTGGCGCGGTCCTTAACGACCTCCTGCGGCCCACCTAGATCCGAAACCAGCGCCCGCAGCGCAGCGGACTCGTCCTGTGTGCCGTACATGCATCAAACGATCATGCATACACGACAGGCATCAAAGGAAGGCAGAGAATCAATACGGCAAGTACGACAAGTACGACAAGTATGATAAAAAGCCATTGGGCTCAATATGTTTCTGACCGACAGACAAGGGGCCTTATGGTCATCAGTCTGACTTTTCGTTATCGGAGCTCGCCGTCTTCCTTCGTTCCCATCTGGGAATATCTGGGAAAAAGATCGCATCCTGATGAGGAAATAATAACGAGGGGATAATTCACCCCAGGCGCTAAGGGAAGGTGTGCTTCTGTGGGGGCTTCTTTAGTGCTTAGGAAAAGCGCGGGTCAAAAGGAATTGGTGGGTCAAAAGGCGGTGATGAGCTACGTACAGCACTTGAGCAACGACAGCCATAGCAACAGCAATTACACAACACACACGCACACACAGCAGACATCTTCAGCTATTGCTGAGCTCCCCAAGCTGAAGCTGAAGCTGACTGAGGGGTGTTGTCGGGATCCAACTACATAACGTTATGACCACCGTACGACAAGGCCACAAGCCGTAAGGAACGACATACAGACTTCTCACGCGGCGGCGGAAGGGGGCGGAAGTTGTGTGGGATCTGGGGGTTACGGCGGGATCTGGGCCGTACCTTGAAGTTGGGCTTCGACTTGATGTAGGCCGCCAGCTCCTGGATTTCATGTCGTGCGGCCGCCATCTGTGTGTTCGTGTCCAGCCCAACTGCCAATGTCGCATCTGCCGCCAGGGATTGAAGCTCCGAAACCAGCTCGTCGTACTGCTCCGCATCCGTTAAGCTGCACCAGATCCGCATCAGCCAGCCAGAACCCGCATATTCGAGTGCAAACTGCCGGATGCGCTCCAAACAGTGTACGAAATCGTCCAGTACGACCTTGTACGTATTCTTAGCCTGCGTACGGTGCCGTACACGGTGGACGACCCGTTTGGAAGATTCGGCCCTGGGTGTGCCCAGTTACGTTACGTAAGGTATGCACGAGTCGTCATCAACGCTGTACATGTACGACAATATGACGGATGGGAAGAAGAAACGTCGTACGATAGACTAATAAAAGCCCAGAGCAATTGCCAACATCATATCATCTCAAACACGTGTACGGCACTCCGACCTGAAGGGCTTCCTGGTTTAGCTGGATGACTTTCAAAAGGTTGGTGGCACGAGTGGCCAGGTCTTCTAAGTTTTGGCGGTGTGCAATGGCGCCTCGTATCACATTGATGGCGTCGAGCAGTACAGCCGCAGCTGGCCCACCTGCTTGGGGTACGTGCGTACGGCAATACGGTACGGGAAGGTACGGCAAAAAGCGCGGGTGGATTTTCTTGTCAGGTTTTTGTCGCCATGTGGTCATATCTCACATGCAATGCTCTCTCCTCGATGTCCTCATCGCTAATTGGGGCATCGGAAGTCGACAACACAGAATGGGGGATTCATTTGCCGACTTGGAGAAGTAAAATCAAAATCACTCGAAGAGGGTAAGAAGAGTGTCCAGCCTATGGGTATGGCGCAAAAACATTTGATGAGCTATGACACCACGATTGACCCCTAAGGCTTCTCGGGGGGTTCGGGCTGACTGCTGCAGTTTATCAAACCTAATTACTGGTAATACAATGTCTTCAGTTCGAGCCCTGCACGTGACATCTTCCCGCAAGATCATGTGCATGTGCCACAT